AGCGCGGGTCCGTAATAGTAAGAATAACGTCTTCGAAGGTAATAGTAATACTAGGGAAAACTAGCGCGAGGTAGTATATACAGTCCGTAGACTAATGGACAAGAGTAAGGCCTACCGGAATCTCGCTATTAGCGATCGGGTCGGCCCGCTCTGACTCAAGCCGCAGAGGGGTTATTGCCAACCGATATAATTGAGAGGGGTTATTGCCAACCAACTTAACGAAGAGGGGTTATTGCCAAAATATTAGGCCTTGCTGGCGCAATGGTAGCGCGCCAGACTTCTATTATGACATCTGGAGGTCAGTTATACCTCCCTGAACGCGCACATAGAATGATATGTTAACAGCCATGTAGGTTGTGGGTTCGAGTCCCACGTAGGGTGCTTTTTTTGGTGTTTTTTTGTGTCCTTTTCGGCTGCAAATTTGTCCATCGTCTTCACAGGCACAGTGGGCTGCCATTTTTTTTTTGGGCTACTACAACGATTTGATCGATGAAAATTCTGACATCGCATCGTATCGTCTCTTTCTGTTTGAGACGGAAACGTGCCGGCAAATTTTTCTGCCTTGCCTCTCCTCCTCCGCTTGGCGGGAGAGAGAGGTACGTTCCATTCACATCCAGAGCCCGGTGTAGCACTGCCTCATCGATTGGGAATATCAATTCTCTTGGGGTGGTTCCTATCCTTCAAATTGCTTATAACAAAATATCCACAACCATAACCGATATGATACACTCCACGCACAGAACCAATCCATGGCGAGGTAGTAGGCAGCCGAGAAGCCAAGTGAAAACCCGCCCTTGTGGACGAGCAACCAGTACTTTCCTCCAAGCACGACCAGCCAAATTTTGAAAAAAACCAAGTCATCCATTCAACGATATGATCCACAACCACGCACAGAACAAATCCGTGGCTACCTCATCAGTAGGCAGCCGAGAAGCCACGTCGAAACCCGCTTTCGTGGACGAGCAACTTTCCTCCCAGCACGACCGGCCAAATCTTGAAAACAAATCATCCATCATCCATTCAACGGAACAAATAACGATATCTTTCCAAATCGAAACAGGCGAGCCCAGCTGACGCCGTCCGAATTAGCCAAAGGCTCTCTGAGCGCTGAAACGGGAATTCTCATGCGCTTGCGACGGGGCGCGGAAAGTCCTCAACAGCAGTTCCGAGGAGGGAACGAGGGAGAATGTGGATGGAGATCGAGTCGCCAGACATGAACCAGAGCCAAGTCTAGAGGTGAGTTATCATAGTTGTACAGCTATCTACAGCGGTCTTCCCAAACAGCGGAACGTCCCTGTCTTTCCCGAGACTCCTCGCCAAAATCAGGGGCATCGACGAGTGGGAGAGTAGGTAGTGACCGTCGAGATGACACTGCGACGTGTGAAGGCGCTGGCTGTATTGCTCGCCGGTCGGGGAAAAAAGGTAGCGCAATTTCGCAATGATGAGTGTGTTTTGTATCGGCTAGTCAACTCCCAGCGTAGGAAACAAGCGCACCGCACCAGATGGAAGGATACAGGCAGAAAGTCGCGCATGGAGAGAATGTATGATAGATCTGGTCTTGGAGGTTCGAGAGAAAGATGAAAATACCTTACCTACGAGCGGAGATTTTGAAAGGACGAAGGCGGTGCGACGGTGCGACAATAGTCAGTACAAGCAGCAGTATCTTCATCATCATCGTCATCATTTTGAACAAGAATCTCTCGTTGCGCGGGACATCTGCTCTGGCCGAGCTAGACCCAACTCGCTGACTCTGGCTATCGCAGTAGGAAATCTAGTGCGCACTGCCATCCTTCCGAGGACGAGGAGCGGCAACGACGCTTTACCTCTTGGGGCCTTTGAAGAAGCGCATGCAAACAGCATCCTTGTGTAATTTCGACATGAACGAAGCTGCAGCAGCGCGAAGGATATATGAGAAGTTGGGATTCCACCGAGCCGACCATCTTTCGATTGAGGATTTCTCAAACATGGCGGTGAGGGAATTTCAATACACACATTGCAATTTGTCGTGCCACGGTTTGGTGTAAGTAAGGCAGGCAGCATACGCACGTTATGCACGGGTGTGCTGCGTATGATGCGCGCGTGACCCTGCTTCCAGGTCACTTTCCTGGTCGGGGGATGGATAGGATGTTGATGATCTTGGGCAGCTGTTTGGCAAGATGCAGAAATCACTAGTCGACCAAAGAAGAGCTCTTGGATCGCCCGCCTTTAGTTTCTGCCAAGGATCCGAGATGACGGCCATCCAATGAGCGTCCAGAGATGTCTTGTCTCTCTGTAGAGGTCATCTATGTAGGATTGTTGAGAGACGTCAGCCTTGACAATCTTTCAAGACACAGCGGGACAGGACACGGGCAGCTTGCGCCTGACACAGAGCGTTCGCCGCACGTCAAAATGGTCCGTGGTCCATGGGCTCGGCATGCTAACCGAAGGCCGCCGCTGTCTTGTGACGAATGAGGTCCATCATTGCCGGTTTCACCTTGTGCATGATCATAGACTCTACCACACTACGTTGTTCCCGTATACTGCTGCCCGGCAAGCTCATGCGACGGCCCGCGCAAGGCAGGTCGGAGGGCAAACTGGGTTCAGCTGACGGCCGGCGGATCCAGCGGCGACACGCAATTGGCCGCAGAGTATCTTCTTCCCTCCTGCAGGTAGCCAAGTAGCGCGATGCAAGCAGCAGCACCTATCCGAGCAGGCCATGCGCTTACGGGTCCGTGGTCCATGGGGGGTGCCCATGATGCAATCACAATGGTTTTGAGAAAACGTGTCAAGGCGTCTCCCTGCTGTCCTGGTTGGCGTTGTACAGGCTCCCGAGCTACCGAACTCACGCAAGAGCCTGGGGAGGAACGACATCCATCTTGCTCTGTACTCACCAGATAAAGGACGTAGGCGTTGCGGTAGGAACGGCGCGAGGACTGAGCGCCTCGGAGAGCAGCAAACTCGATGCCGAGGACCAGCACTGACTGGCTGCAGTCGCAGTAGTGGTAGTAGCCGTTGGTGGTTGGGCGTGGGATATCATCTGTGAGGGCGATCCTCGAGCCAAGACGGCACGGCTATCTGCAGCGAGGCACTTGATGCAGCTGTCCCGTCACTACCTTAGCATCATCTGGGCGCGAGAGCAAGCACCTCACATCATCAATCCGCGTCAGGACGAGGGGTCTCAGCATTGCAACAGGAGCAGCAGCAGCAGCAGCAGCAATCGCAATCGCAATCGCAATGGCAGGCAGACGCCGGAAAGCGCGATTCCGGGGGGCAAGAGGAGGAAGGAGCATCATGATCCAGCGCAGCGTGGGAGGTTGAAGGTGCAGCAGAGCTCCAAGTTGCCCGTTCCCCTCGTCTCGTTCGCGTCGCCTGATGTTGATTGGCGCTGCATGACGGCCTCAATAGTGCGTCTCGTTGTGGCGGAGCTTGAGCTGGGCTGGGAGAGGAGGCCGGCGCTGGAAAGCAGGCTCGCATTATCTTTGTGGATTGCGTACAGCCAGAGGCGTCTCGGCTCTGGGGGCTAGGCGATGCTGACGAGACGAGGTCGAATTGGGCGAATGCACAGTGGCGTCTGGCAGCGGGCGGGCGGGCGTGATTGGGCGTAGCAGCGCTACCTATTTGCGAGCACGATCGCGTCTCTCTAGTCTGATATTGTGATATGCACGCGATCATGCGCAAGGCCACGCGCGGGACGGAAAGGATGGCGATGCGATGCGCTGCGCTGCGCTGCGATGCGGTTCGATGCGATGCGCGGCCATGGGCAGGGCAGGGCGAGCGCGCAGAGTGGGATGGGAGAACACCTCTCAGGCTGTGCAGGTGTAGGTCGGGTGTGCGGTGTGTCTTGTATAACCTTGAAGCCTCTTCCCCAGCGTCTGCCCTCGATTCGCTGCTCGGAATTCGTGCCATGCTGCAGGTCTAGGTCTGCATTCCCTTCCGCTCGCCAGGGGCCTCCCTTCCTCCCTCCCTCCCTCCCTCGCACCTCACAGAAGGACGAGGCTGCTTGTCTGACGGGCAGAGCCGGCGCGCGCGCGCGCGCGTACGTAGATCTGGTTCTTCGGGAGACTTGCACTTGCTCGACCCTGACGCCTTGGGGCCGGACGCCTTCCCTTTGGGCCCAGGCATTGATGATCAGAGGGACGACGCCCTCCGCATCGCTACCAGCGCTACCAGACAGCACGTCCTGGAGCGGCGAATCACACACGGGCGGCAGTATAAGGGCACACACCTCACTCAGCAGCACTCTGTTCGAGACACACCGACTCGACGACTGTCTCGGCTTTGGCCATCTGGTCAACAGGTGAGTGCAATCCGTTTTCGTCCCAGACACTCTCCGAGGCGTCTCCTGCATCTTCCAGCACTGTGGTCTTGGCCACGGTCACGCAACCGTTCTCTATCTGGCGCCCGTCCCCGTCCCCAGACCCAAACCACAAGCACCCGAGCAGCGTCCCCATCGTGAGGATATCCCTTGCGTCGCAGCCAGCAGCGAGCAGCGCGCTGAAGGACGTGTAACCACCCTCGCATCCTCGGTCGCAGCCCAACAACTCCCGCCAGGAGGCTCTTGGATGGGGATCTCAGCATTGTCGATACAGCATGGTCCGCATTGGGAAGCGGGATGAAGCGAGGGCTGACAGGGAGCAGGACACCGAGTGACCGAGCCAGCCGAAGCAGAAGGCAGGCGCGGTTGGAGCTAGCGGGCAGAAAAGCGGGGCCTTGGCACAGCCCGCCGCTGCAGTTGCACCCGTGGACGGACCCGTGGACCGCTTTGACTGCTTCCAGTTAAGTTTCCTCTCGGCGGCGAGCGAGCGAGTGGAGGCCTTCCACTCTCTGCCCGGCGATTTGCGACTGCGACTGCGACTGCGACTGCGACTGCGACTGCGACTGCGACTGCGACTGACTGCGACTGACTGCGACTGCTGCTACTGCCACTGCCACTGCCACTGCAACTGCGACTGCTGGTACCGGTGGAAGTGGCGCTGCATCTCTGACGAGACATTCGTCGACCTTGCGTCGCACCTACCCAGACGGCGACATCGCAGCATCGCATCTATCCAACCATCCATCAATCCATCCACCTGTTCCCTTCGACACCCACGACTATTCGCCCGCCCGCCCCCGCCCGCCCCTCCCTCCCTCCCTCCCTCCCTCCCATCCTGTCCTGGTGCCACTGTACTGCATCCCAGGCCTCTCGCGGCGGCGACAGGGTTCTCCAGCATAGCATAACCGCGAGCTTATCTGCGCTTCGTCAAACTCTGGGATCGTGCGTGCAGCCGCTTCGGCCCTTCCTGTGCTTGCCCACTCACAGCACTCGTCGCGAGCGACGGGACTGCTCCGCCTTGGACCGCGACCCGAGCAAACGTTGCCGGCCGCGTTATTGACTGACTGCACCCATCATCGTATCGCGAGGAAACAATCCCATCGGCACCGGTACCAGCACCAGTACCAGCACCAGCATCGCCAGCAGCAACAGCCTGCTCATGCTGCCGCTGTCGCCAGCGCGCTGCCCGAGTATCTCCAGCCCTTCACCGCCACCGGCGCGCAGGACGACCAGACATCAGCGCTCCGACCATTCAGTCCTGTACCACGCCGCCACCAGATACTCCTCCTAGCCTCATGCCAGGTAGCGGGATGTGATGCTGGCCGTGTCGCATCGCACCCTCGAAGCCTTGCCTACAATACAGCCCACGAGGATGGACGACCATCCCGGCACCATCAACCCAGCTGCTCTGAATGCCCCAGGTAAGTCGCACTCCCTCCACGACCTCCCTTCACCTCGCTGCTCTGCTTTGCTCTGCTCTGCTATGCCTTCACCCTACCCTACATACGTACCCTGCCCTGCCGTGCGACGCGTCGCTGCCATGCGACAGCCAAGTACAAAGCTGCTGTATTCGCGCAGACGCCGTCGCGACCGTGAACCGCATCCCGTGCTGACCATGAGGCTCAACCGCGCGCAGCCTCCACCATCGCACCCAACCTCCTCTCCCAGCCCAGTCCGCGCGGCATCAAGCGCAGTCGCTCGCCCGACGTTAACAGCGCTGTCGGTCTAGACGGCGAAGGTGGTACGTTTCCACCAACACATCCAAATACCCGTCACTGCAGCTCCGTGTCAGGGCATCGGTCGCTGCTGCGGTGACCGGGGGGCACGGACGAAGTGAGCTGACGTCTTGCCAACAGATGACGCCAAGAACAAGCCCAAAAAACTAAAGGCAGAAGAAGCATCACCCCCCGCCAACATGTCCCTCGCGACGGCCGCACACCATCCTGTGCAGACCCCACAGATCAAGACACAGACTCTGCCTCACGCCTCCCCGAGCCAGGCGTCGCCGCAACGCTCCACTCCCGGCTCCGCCACGAAACCACCCGTCGTCAAAGCGCTGCCCACGGTGAGAGATCATACGACAGACCAGCTTAAGCCGGAAGGAGATGAATACATTCCGCGCGAAATAGACGAGGATGGAGAGCGGAAGGTCGATGACGACGGATATCCGCTGGGTGGTCGCAAATACAAGTGCCGCACCTTCAACGTACCCAACCGGGGCGCAAAGCTGTTCATGCTGGCTACCGAATGTGCTCGCGTACTAGGATACCGCGACTCCTATCTGCTCTTCAACAAGAACAGGTCGTTGTTCAAGATCATCGCAAGCCAGGGCGAGAAGGACGACCTCATTCGCCAGGAGATACTGCCGTACTCCTACCGGTCGCGCCAGATAGCCATCGTGACGGCTCGGTCGATGTTCAGACAGTTTGGCAGCCGCCTGATAGAAGGCGGCAGGCGTGTGCGCGACGACTACTGGGAAGCCAAAGCGAGGAAACAGGGTTTCACTGAGGAAGATCCGGCCGGAGAGAAGCGGCCAGGTGCCGCTAAGGCCAGGGAAGCGGCTGCTGCTGAGGCCAACCACGCAAGTGCGTTGACCTCGTTGCCCCAAGGAGAGATCATCTACAGCAACAATGGACCTGGTATGGATGGACAGCCTCCTGGTCTAGGTCCGGTCAGTCTCGCGCCATTGCCCATGATCCATCTGCCAGCTGAGGAGTTGCGGCCCAACGCTGCTGGTGCTGGCTACATGCGGCCAAGACAGGAGATCACTGGTCCTCCATACTCCGATCGCATCCAATCGAGCAATCCTTCCGACATTCTGGCCCAGGCCGGTCAGGCGGCAGAGTACAACAAAGCCTTGAGTACGACCCGCGCGCACCGCGCCAAGTACCTCGATGACTATTGGAGACGTCCCCACGAACAACCCGCGACAGAAGCGCCTCCTCCTCCTCAGAGCGAGGCCAACACCGCTGCATCGCAAAACTTGCAAAGTCCGCAGGCTGTGGCTGGCATGAATCAGCACCGAGGCCAACAGGATTCCATATCTCACCCCGGCTCGCAGATGATTCCGCCGACCTACTCAGGGTACGCCAATCAGCAGAATCCAATGGCTTCGCCCGTGCAGAACATGCATCGATCATCCATACCTTCGGCCTCGATGCATCAAGGATCACCTTCGATGAGCATGGGCGCGGCTCCGGGCCACCGCCAAACTCCGTCGTACAGCAGCTACCAGCAGAACCAGATGTGGCCTCCTCCCCAACCTCAGCCTTCTCCGCTATCTCAATCTCATGTCTCCGGATACGGCCAGCAGCAACAGCAGCATCACTCTCAGATGCCGCCACCACAGATGCCTCAGCAATCCAGCATGGGCTACCCACAGATGAACCAGATGAATCCGGCGTACTCGGGTATGAATCGGAGCATGTACCAGCCGAGCCCAGGACCACAGTTCAACATGCCCCAATCCGGAGCAGGCCAGCAGCCTGGCATGCAAGGCTGGTCGAATCCGGGCGCTGGCAACATGCCCAACTACTACCAATGACCACCAACTTAGACTCGACGACCATGAAAACCTACTCTTCTTGTAAATCCTTGGATCAAGGCTTTACTGGCATTCTTCCACCAACCAGATATCTCTCGCACGGGCGGCGTTGGCATACAATTGATGAGACACCATCACGATCCCAGGTGTCCTCGTACCGTACAGTACCGAATCCCAGACAGCCACTTGCTCTTGCACCCGACTCCAGCATTTTGCATCCTGTTTCCAATCCGCGTGCTTTCCGCGATGACTCTGATCTTTACGATTTCGGCTTTGTATTGTCTCGGTCGCGCGCGCGCGCTTGCATGTTGGTTTTTGCTCGTTCGGTTGGATATCAGTGGGGAAACGATGGGACATTTTCCGATGGTTTTCGTTCTGTTTTGCTTGTCTTGCTCCACGTTGCTTTGCAAATTCGGTGGCATTAATTCATCGCATAGCGGGACTGTTTTGGTCTTGATGAGGTGCTGATACCCAAATTGCTTTCTTGCTTTTCTTGACTGCATTGAACTCTGCTCTTGCGTTGTTTGTGAGAGTTTCTGCAGGGGAAGTTTTGGTTTCACTTACTAGAACGTTAGTGGTATACGAGACGTACGAACTGTATCTTTTGCGAGACAAAAAAAGCGAGACCGAATCGATGAGACAGACGCGGCTTCCTTTTGATTCTTCGAGCTCCCGCCTGCTGCTTTATGGGCAATAATGTGGGAAAGGTGCGGCGGTAGTGGTGTGTGACGTGTCATTGGAGCTGCTATTGGTGGTCACGGGCTGGCTGGTGTGTGGCAGATGTATACCTATTCACACTCCCTTGTCCTCACCACACCACGCCATGCCATGCCATGCCATGCCCACCACTAGCCACATGTTGGGGACGATCCTTTCGCTTTTCCTTTCTACCTTACACGAGCCTCAGCTTGATCTTCCGCTTCCCCGTACTCTCCTCTGCCTCGTCATTGATCCGCACCCTGACCTTCTCAAAGAGTTCCACTTTCCTCTCCACCTTCTGCCCCGTGACCTGCAGCGAGTACTCCTCGCCGTCGAAGATACTCTCCGGCTCCCGCTCGCCTTCGCCGGCCATGTCGGACAACCGGATGAGTCCTTCGATGCCGAATCTCGGCACGAAGACGACGAAACCGTTGCTGAAGATGCGCATCACGAAGCCGTCTTCCTCGATGATGCGGCCCTTGAGCGCTTGCCCGACGTAGTATTCGACGCTCGCTCGGCCGGCCATTTGTGCGTTGCGATGTCGCACGTTGATGTTCTGGCAGACGCCTTCGAGCTTGGCACGGGATTGCAGACTTGCGTCTAGAGGTTCGTAATCGATGGCGGCCGCGAGTTGACGGTGGGCTTCGAGGTCGGCATAGCGACGGATGGGAGACGTGAAGTGCGTGTAGATTTGCGACGCGAGGCCGTAGTGGCGGAATTCGGGGTAGGCTTGAGTGCCGGAGCAGAAGTACTCGGCGCTCATCATGCACCTGGTGGCGAGGATGCGGACGAGGGTGTTGAAGAAGGGCTCCTTGGGGTCGACGCAGGCGTCGAGGCTATCGGCGAGGGCTTTGGACGAATCGGTGTGGAGCTCGAGACCTTTCTTGACTTTGAGCTGGTTGCTCAATTCTTCGAAGTTGTTCTTGGGTGGCGCGGCGTGGCGACGAAGGAGTGCTGTCTGCGGGAAAGCTTCGTAGTTCTTGCCTGCTACGCTGATGTTGGCGAGCAGCATGAACTCTTCAACGAGCTGGTTGGTGTCCAAGAGTTGCTTCGTCTTCACATCCATCGGATCAGACGTTTCACTTTCCATTTCCACCCTTACTTCTGGGCTTGCAAGATTCAGCGCACCGGCCGCCATTCGCTTTGCTCGTAACTTCTTCGACAGGGCCATCAGGTGGCGCATCCCCTGTGTGAGATCGTCCGTCTGAGACTTGTCGTCAATCCGAAGTTGTGCTTGTTCATAGCTAAAGGCTTCTCTGCTCCGAATTACGCTCTTGGTAAAGGACGCGTTCACAATATCGGCGTTTTGGTCCAGCTCCCAGATGACACTGAACGCGTAGCGTTCCACGTACGGCTTCAAAGAGCATAGATCAGTGCCAAGAAGCATCGGAAGCATGTCTATGCGCTTATCAACAAGATACACGGTCGTGCCACGGAGTGACGCTTCCTTGTCCATGGCGTTGTTCGGCTTGACGAAATGTGAGACGTCTGCAATGTGTACGCCCACCTCAAAGTTGCCGTTAGGTAGCTTCTTGGCGTGTAGAGCATCATCAATATCAACGCAGCCGGGGGGATCAATAGAGCAGACTAAAAGATCACGAAGATCCCGTCTGCTCTTCCATCCCGGATCAGAGGTGTTCGCGGGCACTTTCCAGTCGTGACCTTCGGCTGGGAGGCAGTCCAGAACCGACTTCGGGAATGGTCGATACTGCACATCCCATTCCAGAAGTAGGGCCTCCGTCTCAGCACCCTTCGTCTCCAGCTCACCCAAACTACGGACAAAGTGGCCGACAGGGTATCGAGACTCCCGGTCCCACGAGTCGATTGTCACGAGCACGCGCTTTCCAAGCAGCTCGCCAGCTTGGCGAGTACGAACTTTGATTTTTGGAATCCGCTTGTCCATCGGAATAAGAAAGACGGTCTGTTGGGAGCGGCTCTGCTTTGCCTCTGCACGAACAGAGTCCTTGTCAACGTGGCCCACATACTGCCGCCAGTTGCGTTTAATGACACCGACGACCTTTGCCGTGGGCTGAGGCTTGCCTTCTGCCACCTTTCCATGCGCTCTCTTCGCTGTCTCTTGCAAGGCCTTCCGTTCTTGTTCCGTGACAACAGCTTCAGCAGATTCGTCTTCGTTCTCAGCGTTTTCATTCTTATTGATGTCTTCCTCCTCAATGACTTTGTTTGAAGGTGCCTTCCACTGGTCCTTTGGGAGCAATTCAAGCACAACTACGTCGCCCGACACGGCACGATTGCTGTTTTCCCTGCCTTGGATGATGAGCGGGCGGTCAAAAGCTGGAACGTGCACAGTGCCTTCCAGATAATTGTAAGGCGATACACTGAAGGTGCCTTGATATAGAGTACCAGCTTTGATGCCAGTGAGCATTGCCGACATAGACATGTACTCAGGGTATAGCATCTCCGCCTTTGTATCTCGAGACGCGCGGTGCTCTCGGTTTGAAGCCACCATGTCGAGCAGACGGTCGGCGTCTGGCAAGTCCGAGACATAGTCGTGCAGGTTAGAAGCAGTAACTTGGTCGTCCTTTGCCTTGCGCAGACAGTCTCTGTCGTCCGTCAACATGACTACAGCGGGACAACGTGCACTCTTCCGAGCTTTCGTAGCTTGCTGCAAGTGCTCGCTGTACCAGGCGCATGCTTTCCGGATAGCTCGATCATTACGATCATTTATCGATTCACCTGATTCTCTCGACGCGTATGTCTCCAGTCTGAAGTCGTTGAAGAACACGTAGAATCTCTTGCTCTCATTCTTGGTCAAGGCAATCAGGCGGTGGTATAGCGGTAAAGACCGATTCTTTACCTCTTCCAGGACCGTCTGCAAGACGACTACGTCTCGAACAGCGACCTCACTCTCAAACAGATCCATGGCAGAGAGAAAAGCATTGGTATCTGGTACAAGATAGTGGCCTTGAGGAAACTGCCGAGTCCCAGATGGAGTAGCGGACAGGACAAACGGCTCCCTCTTGCCATGGAAACCGGTTGGCGCCAAGTCGATGCATGCCGAGCAGAGCTGTGAAGAACATGGGATATCTTGTCGGAGGTATAGTTCGCGGACGACCTTCTGTACTTTTCCCGACTTGAGCGTTCGCAGATATGTCTTGCTGCTCAGTGTGGTTGTGGGTGTCGTTGACGCGGCATACGATCGCTTGAGGGAGGTCATCTTTTCGTGATCCTGTCGAGTGTCTGCATCCAGTTCCAATAAGCCTTCCTGTCCGTGACTGCTGCTGTTGGTGATGTGGAAAAGGGATGCACTGTCTCGCGAAACTTTCGCGTGCAGCCCGAGGATTGACGTCGATGTCGGTGACGGGACTACCCGACGCCGATGCAGGGTCTCTCGTACGCTTGGTTCGCCACCGGCAACCTCATGCGCCCTCTTGTCTCCGCATCACTCTCCTCGACCTGAACAACAACATCATCCTCTGCCCTCAACTCTCAACTCGCGCGCTCTGGGCGCACCAAAGATCCCCTTAGCATGCCTCCACTCTCGCATGCTTGGCATTCCTTGATTGCCAAACATGCAAAGAGTCTGAAGTGAGCAAAGTCGACCCACTAGACATCAGCTTCACGACTGACGGTGACGCAGGGCTGCCTTGTCGAAAGGCATAAAGGCCGTCGACGCACAATTGCAGCAGGCCACTCAGCCACGAGCTGCCCTCCAGCCTGTACTCGTTCGCAACACGCCAAAGCAACCGCTGCATCCGCTCGCTCGCATCAGACAAAGCCAGTCGCGCTGGTACTCCACCGCCCGTAAATCGTTCGATAGCACCGTTCGCCATTTTACCTCTGCCGCGACTGGTAAGTCCGGCGTCAAATACGACAAGGCTTCCTTCCCGAAATCGACAGCCGGTTCATATGTTCGGTCATCCTCTGGACGAGCCCCATTTGCTTCCGCCTTGCGACCAAACTTGACGGGAGGTACCTTAGGAAGAACAGCAGGAGGATACAGCTCTGGTGGAGCAGGAGGTGCGAGATACTTCTCACATGGACCAGCGTCTCAAGCGCAAGTGGTGCAGAACGTCTCGCAGGCTGTCCGAGCATTCTTCATCTCCGGCCAGAAGGCACAGTTCGATGGGATCGACACAAATGGCGAAAAGCGCTTCAAGGCTGTCTCCAATTTGCAGGAAGAGACGGATCGGAAAGTGCGCTCGCTACCTTCGGCCACTCCTGGATCCCGCATCGAGTTCGCTATCAACCCTACCATTACTGCCCTTACGACCTTGAGCTCTGTTGCTGGTTTTACTGTTTTGGAGTCTGGAACTCAACAGGACCACCTTAACACTGATGGTCTCTTGAACGTGCTCTCAGTCGATTTCTCGAGGGCCCTTAAGGATCTTGCGGCAGTACTCAATAACCTGAAGCGCCTTTCGGCTCTCGGGGATCTTCCAATCACTTACGAGGGATCGCACTTGCGCGTACATTTCCCCGGATGCGATGCGGACTCGGTAGAGCGTCTCTGCGACGAGCTGAACGTGCAAAGAGGCACTGTCATCCAAGACGAAGCGTTTGATGCGTTCGCTGGAACCGAAATTGCGCTGCTGTTCCCGTTCGCGCCGGGCAACGAATCTTCGCAACCCGCAGAGGAATCCGATTGTCAGGATCTGTTCGAACAGGCCAAACCTGTCATGGCTCCACAACGGCATGTCATCAGTCTCGATGATATGCTCAGCGCCGCTGAAAGCCCCGCATACTCCACCCAATCCGATACCGGGTTCGAGGACGTGTTGATGGAGGAGAGCCCGTGGCTACCTTCGTCCTCATCCGGATATCATTCAGTACATTCGGCGAGCTTGTCTGGTTCAGAGAAGCAAACCCCGCTGGAGTACCAAGGCTTCGAGGGAATCTACAGATTCATCGAGGAGTTGGATTCGGTGCGGAGGTAGCGACATTTCCCAGTTGTGTGACGATCTTACGCGGTTAAGAATGATATCCCCACTCTCATATGTCGGATCCACAGGACAAGAATATAAAGACATTGATCAACATTATCTTCATTACGTGTGTTTTCATTGCATTTCTTCGTCACTGATGATGTCGCTGTTTCCAGTCTCCTGCTGCATTCAAGCCTCGTTCCTCAGCAACCAGGAATCGTATCGATTCAACTATCTAGTGCTCGGACTCTTTCTTCTCGGGCAACAGCAATCGTGAGATGAACTTCATATCCCACCCCGTGGCGCCTTTCGCGGGATCTGGAAGCCCACTATCTCTGATAGCTAACAAATTGTTTTCGTGAAGCTCAATGGGGTCCAGCCATGCCGCCGGTATAGTCGTCTGCTCTTCCGTCTGTTCTTTTGCCGATCTTCCGTTGATACTGACCGGTACAGTCTGCGACTGATCGACTACCAGCTTCCCCTCCTGGGTTGAAGTCTTGGGAGGCAGAGCTCGCATGCGCAACAGCATGATGAGTAAATCTGCGAAGTGTCCTCCTTGTAGCCAGAGTTTCCTAGGAGGCTCATGAAGAGGCCAGGCGTTGGGCCTCATCTGGTCGGCATCGGAATCTGAATTAGGATTCGAGTCCGCGATTTCGATTGGATCGAGAGACCTGTAGATGCCGGTCATGCGTTCGATGCAATTGAGGAGTAGCACAGACGAAATGTAGGTTGCGAAGCGAGAGACCTGTTGCCGTTGAAGCAACCGGCGTTCGAGTTCGTTCAAGACGACTTTGCTCTGCGCCGAGCAGCGAGTTTCAATCGCCGCTAGCAGCTGGGCAGAGATCAGCTTGCGGCTCCGAATAGCTACAGCAGAAGGGTGGTCGTTTGCGAAATCTTCCACCTCTACCAGCGGTGAGATTGGCTCATTGGTAGCGATGCACTTCAGCTCGATGTCGTTGTGCTGTAGACGGGCTAGCACTGCGGTTTCGGTCCAAAGCTCGATTACGTTTCCCAGTAGTTGGTCTTGCAAGCTGTAAGAGGATCTTGTCGCTGTCGCATCAGGGGAATCCGCAATTTGATGCTCCGCCTTGATCATCTCCTGTGCCTGCTCGATGGTGGCCCTCAAAAATGTGCAAGTCTCCTGAACAGCACAGTCCCTCACGCTTTGTTTGAGGTGACTTTCGACTTTAAGTCCCACTCCCTCTACAAGCACCACGATGTCAGATGAACTTCGCTCTCCATCAGCATGCTGAAAATTCGGAGCTGTGGAAGTTTCCTTGGAGTAGTTGGCCGTATATCTTCGTGCAGCTAACGTCAAAGGCACACCGGAAACAGAGAAGAGCTTTGCTTCAATGCAGGCGGACAACGGCTGTAAAAGCATCCCATGCACAGCGCCGGCTACATCGATAGCAGCTCTGGCATGAAATAAGCCAGTGGACCAGAGCGTGAATTCGTCTGCAAGTCTAGTCCGGAGACAAGCGCCTTTCCAAACGCGCGCGGACTCGACGCTCTTGCAGGTGTTGCATGGATTTCCTTCCGAGCAGGGCTTCTTCAACATGCGACAGCGCAAACAGGCACCACGTTTGCGGATCTCCTGGACTTCCTTGCGTCGACTATCGGTGAATCGATTGCGTATCTTGCTTTTCGCTGGTCTCTGTATCATTCCGAACCCAGGGTTTGCTTCATCGAATGGTAGCATGATTGAGAGTCCTCCAGCAAATGCGGCTGCGAAGCTGCCATTTGCGGGAGCCCAGGACACGCCATGGCTTTCTGATGCGGCACTCGACTGATTCAATTCGGATACAGGCGTATTTTCCTCCAGTTGTGGCTCGAGTCGATCTGGGCTGCGCTCTTTGCGCTTCAAGTGCTCATTGGCAGCGGAAGCCGTCCGCACGAGTGGCGAAGGCCCAACAGCGCCCGTTTCCTCATGCTCCGGCACAGGCGGACTATCTGGAAGAATTGAACGAGCGCGCCCATCAACAGGATCTAAGTTAGTGGGACTCGCGATATCGTTTGAATCTTCCTTGCAGGCCGCTTTGAGTTGCGCCAAAAGGTTTTGCTCGACCAAGTCCTCTTCGGCATCGAAGATGGGTTGCTGCTGGGCTGCATCGAAGTGATTGTGATAGGCTGAGTAGTTCAAGTGCTGCCGAGATACCTCAGCCAAGGTATCGAGAGCTGACTGCTCTCTTTGCAGAAAAGACGCAGGTACTTCGTACTGCACGCTGTCGATCTATGAATGTCAGAGTACCCGAGCCGAGAGATCTTTCATCACGAAACAGCACCTACCTGCTCGATCTGCTCGGCATTACCTGGACTTTGGATTCCATATCCGGTGGGATGCGACGCTTCCAAGTGCGTCTGGCTCATGGCACGAAAGACAACCTGGCGATCTTCCTGTGACACGTTCGGACATCTTCGCAGGATGTGGCTCATGAGGCCGTCCACTCGTCCTTTGGGGAACTATTGAGATGTCAGTGGAGAGCATGGCGTCGACTTGGGAGCTGTCTCACGAATTCCTTGCACCTCTTGCACGTATGGGAGTAACGGTTGCTCGCGTCCGGCAGTTTCTGGCCACGCTCAAAATACTCTTGGACAAGAGCGTTTGGTCTTCGGCCCATTGCGTCTGCCACAGCCGCGCGTGCGACTGCTCACAGATGGTGGGTATTGAGGGGGGGATGTGAGATCTGGAATGATGTGTCTTGGTAGAGGGTGGAGTGGGAACAATATCGAGGGCGGTGAGCCGAGATGCAGCACGGGGCAAGCGCAGACAGGCAGTTTCCCTATCTAAGGTATCCAGGACAGCAGCAACAGCCCACTAGCCACCGTGCCTTCCTTCCGAGGGCTGAAGACCAATGCGCCTTCCCGCTTTGATTTCACCATGGTTTGCCTAGTAACAATCTTGCTGCTTCTCCGCGCCCTCCTCCGGACTACTGAGCTGGAGACGTGCAGCCGACACTCTGCTTGCGGCCCGGTGTTTATCCGTTTTCTGCGCAGGGCGGAGAGTCTTCAAAAGGGGACGACGGCACGCGATCTGACGTCCGTCCGTACAGTAGGTAACTGCTGAGAAATCGACGCAGAGAGACCTCCTCACCACATCCACGAGCACCCGGACGTCCGGTCCGGGCTGACGACGCGGAGACCGACCCACAGACCGGTAGCTCCGGGTGCTGTCGAGGCAGCACCTCATCGGCGCATGCGTCGGCGCCGGCGAATCCTTCCTCCGGTGGAACCTGAATCTGAACCTGCACCTGCCCTCTCCACGCTTCGGCTCCGATCTGATCTGGCTCTGGCTCTGGCTCTGGCTCTGGCTCTGGCGCTCTGGCTCTGGCTCTTCTCTGTACCTTCCCAGGACGACTCGCGACTTCGTCCTGTACCCCCAAACTCTCTGCGCCGACATGGAATCAGGCGGGCAGACGGGCATACCCATGTCCGAGGGAGCTTCCACCTCGCCGGCCATGGCCTCCAACACGCCCGATCGGGGCGAATTGAAGCGCAAACGACAGCCACGAAATTCGGTATAAGTCATGACCCGATACGCCCCGTCCGAGACATGAACTTACCCTTCCTCTCGCGCAGGCTTGCCAGTCGTGCTCGGCGCTGAAGATGAAGGTGCATTCGAACCGCAGCGCTCCCGTGTGTGAATGCTGGTGCGGTCGGTGTCGCTGACCAGCATCGCAGTGTATCTCGACCCCGAATGGCAAATGCGAAAGGTAAGTAGTCTCGTCCGTACCTTGCCTTGCCTTGCTCTGCTGTGCTTTGCTTTGCAGGCAGGCAGGCAGACAGGCAGGCAATGAAGCTTGTCACAAGCTGCTGCAGGCCCGCTCAAACATTAAGTTCGATGCCACGGCGCCATCAGCTCCTCACACCATTCATCGCCCGCACTCTCTGCGTCTGTCCCCTTCTGAATAAGCATCCCCTCTCCTCCTCTTCTCTGCATCGACTCTCCCCTGCCGCCCTCACTGCTGCAGTCCGCCTGCTTTCTGCACTCGCTCGACGCGAAGATGGCACGGCAGATCGCTGACCAAGTGCTTGCAGATGCAATCGAATGGACAGAGATTGTGTCCCTGCCATCCCAAAGCCCCGAAAACGGCGTGGAGAGAGCGGAGTCGGTGTCGACTCTGAGGGCGTGAGTCTCTTGGAGTTTGCAGGCCCTTCAACCGCTGCTGCTGGTCCGCCTCCCAAGTTCGATCCACCGCGCCAGACTCAGTCCGAGGATGTGACCGAAAGGACTTCCTTACTCGCGCGACATGACTTGTCGCATACCGACAGCAAGTCATTCCTGACCCTCTTCTCCCAAGGTCTCGGTAATGTCGCTGTAAGTGGTCCTCTTTCGTCTGTACTCATATGGATAGCTTGGTCCATTCCAACTGCAGCATCTCATGTCGAAGCTTGTCTTGCTAATTCAAAGACGTCCAAAGGCATGTGAGGACCTCCTGCAAGGCGTAGACTACAACTTTGTGGGAAGCTGCTTCACCATCTTTCGTCAATTAGCTCCGCATTTTCCCTTCGTTTGGCTTCATCCGGGCGCAGACACAATCGGTGGGCCAACACTTCTCCTAAACTCCGATTTCTGAATCTACTGACTGGGATTCAGCCATGGTTGCACGCAGACCATGCCTCACGCTGGCGATTTGCACAGTGTCATCCGCCTCGAATCGCGACATGCAGTCACGATTAAGTCAGGCGTTCCAGTATACACTTTCTTCGAAAGTCATTCTGGGAGGACAGCGTAGTCTAGACTTGTTGACAGGCCTACTGGTGTACCTAGCCTGGCATCACCAATACATGTCACAGCCCCAGATCTACCAAGAGTTGTACCTGTTGGCCGGCATGGCGGCCGATCTGGGCGTGTATGGCACGAAACTAGAGCCTCTGGACGCCAGCAGTGCTCTGGAACGGGATCGTGCGTTCGTTGGCTGCTACTATCTGTGTTCCGGCCTCTCTGCCACGGGGTTCGACAAGCCAAGTCCCCTGCGGTTCAGCGACAGTCTTCGGCTATGTGCAGAGCGAGCCGCAGCGGCAAACATGGTCCCTTCTGATTCCGCTCTTGTCTCTCTATTAGAGCTCATGCATGCTCTTACTGACATGGAAGATGCACTTCGAGAAGACGCGCAAACAGCACGCGCTAGCTCATTGCAATTCATTGACTTGCACGTTAGAGCGACCAACCAGCGACTGAAAGCTCTGAAGAGAGAGCATCCTGCTTTAGCCGGCTCACTGGCGTTCTCGGCTGCGAACATACATATTTACCAAAGGTTGATGCGGGTCAGCGAAACGCCAGACTATCCCACTTTGATTCAGTGTGCTTGCTCGATAAAAGAATATGTTGACGATATACTGGCTCGGCCGCCATCGATGTTGCACCGAATCTCGATCACGGATTGGACCAATCTGATGGAAATCCTGGTTCTGATGGCTCGTGTCTCCAAGGCACCTCCCACGACTGGCGGATGGGAAGCAGGCGCGTTGACATCCATGCTTCAGCCTGAAGCTGGACTCGACGCACTCTGTTCCCACATGGCGTCTGCGCCCGCAAATGATACGCTCTCACCTCGACACGAACAGCTGCTCCAGTGGCTCCGCAACGTGAGCGATAGTATTAAGAGGCGATTTCTTCATGAGACAGGCGAGAGCACATGGGGACAATACGGCAGCGGAGACCAGCGATCCTCTTCAGATGGGCGATCGCGTCCCGGCGACGAGCAAGCCAGGCAGCCCGACATACTCAACTTCCTTGGCAATGGCGTACTGGACTTCAACTCTTGGAGCAGTCTCACCGCACGATGACAGATGATGGAACAGAACAAAGACACCCGCAGATATCGCTGGTACGAATAGAGCCGCGTGGCTTCCAATAGGCACTACTACAACTCGAATACATCGTCCCTGCAGGCAGCCCGCGTGTGGGCCTGGAATTAACCAACCACAGTGCAACTGCATAACAATTTAAGTTCCCACCTGACAGACGAGTTTTCACGAGTAGGGAAACTGAGACCGATAGCTTATGACGCATCGTGCTCAACTCATTCGATGCTGTGCTCTGTGCAAAACCCTTAACTTCCCGTCGTGCAGCTTCTATTATTTATTGAAAGAGATCTAGAGGCTGGGATGGAGCCACACGCACAGCCGAACAAACTCGGACGGTTTGGCTTTCCAATTGCGGACGTGTCCGGACCCTCCGCCCAAAGCCAGAATAAGCAGCATCATGCCCGTTGCATGACCTCCCATTCGTCTGGATATCAGCACGATTGTTGGAGCTTTGCCTTTGACTGGATCCCGGCGCTCGTGAGCTCCGGCGGCGAAGACTTAATGTCTCAGCTACGGGGTTGTAGGCTGTTCTAAAACTTGCGACTCTCAACATTAGTTTCCAAACATCTCGCGCTTCAAGCTAGTGGTTCTTGTACAGCGTCTTCGCACGTTGCAGTATCATCTCGACGGCAGCTACCGCTGTTTAGTGCTATTCCACTCGCTGTTGCCCTGGTGTTTGCTAGGATTCTTCGGAGGACAAGAACATTCCGCTGTCGGAAGACGCTGTACAAGAACCACGGGCTTGACGCTGGAGATGTTTCGAAACTAATGTTGGAAGTCATCGGATGACAACCCGGCCATCTGGGTGGAAGAAGAGGAAATATCCGGCTACGAACGCAAGCTATCTTGCTTCTCAAACCAGGCATATTCATACCGAAATGGTCACGAATATGTCGCACGGCGAGTACAGATCTCTACCATTGCTTCGAAGTCCGCTTCTAGGCCGACAAGAGCCGCACAAGAATAGGAAAGATGACGAGGACCTCGAATTGAAGCCCCTGCATGAATCGCACGACGAGGCGAATACTCAATCTGTGCAAGACAGTGCAGAATTCCACCGACACGCGGAGACCACCAATGCAGAGTTATTTTACGACCTTTTCCTTGTCGCCAACTTTGCAGTCTTCACCAATGTTCACGAAGTGAACGATGGCAGAGCCTTGAAGCAGTATGTTGGATTCTTCACAATCCTTTGGTAAGTGGCCAACGGAGACCGGTTTTGGAGGGGGTGTGCCTCGTGGGAGCAATGCAGCTGACGACCTCAAGGTTCACCTGGTACCAAGTCAGCCTGTATGACGTTCGGTTTGCAATGGATTCGGTCTTTGAGCGCGCCGCCCGTGCTCTGCAATTTATGGTCATGATATCACTGGCCATAGTTGGTCCAAAATTCGACGTTGGTCAGAGAGCAAGGCCAGGGAACGAAGGGCAAGCTCCGTCACTGCCATACTTCCAAGCCCTCACGATCGCGCTTATGATCAGTCGACTGGTGCTTGTGGCACAGTACCTACAGGCGATGTGGTTCACAAGAGGATACAAGAAGACCAAACTACCCATGCTCCTGGTGGCATCGACATACTTCGCCGCAGCCATGGTATACCTTGGACTCTTCTGGACTTTCCACCAGGTCAATAGGAAAGGGGGAAATATCTCGTACATCACTTGGTACTTCGTCGCCATCCTCGAGACCATAATCGCTACTACCGTGTCGTCCGTCTGGAGGAATATTAGCTTCAAGGGAACCCATCTCGTTCAACGTATGTCGCTACTGACGCTCATCATCCTGGGCGAAGGCGTGATGGGCGTAGCGAAGAAGTGCCAGATGATCGTCAAGAGCGACAACGGCCTCGAATTCAGCGCTTCGACCATCGGAAACGTCATCTGTGCCGTCCTGATACTCTATTTCATCTACATGATCTACTTCGACTGGCTGGAAGACGAGCATTTCGGTTCCATTCGACAGCAGATCTGGTCGTTCCTCCACTTTCCATTGCATGTTGCACTGGTCTTGGCGGTCGAAGGGGTTGCGCAGTGTATTACATGGCGTGTAAGTGATTTCCGGAACCCCCTTTTTCTGCGGCGGCGGAGAGCTTCGAAGACTTGTAGTTGATGACCCATCGACCACAGGCTGCAGTCGAGCGCACCGATCAACTACACGACCAGTACTCCCTCTGGCAAACCCTCACCCCAACATCGCCCGCCTCGGCGTTCGACGACATCGCCAACCAAATCAACGAAACCGCAACAGACATCATCTACCGCGGCCTGTACATCACCAACGACCTGCACGAAACGCTCGAGGGTTTCAACAATCTCGCAAACGCCTTCAACGCGACCTCCATCATCGCCAACGGCACCAACGATTACCCGCTCTCGCGAGAAGCCGTCGACTGGGTCTACTTTACCCTGACCAAGACCATCTTTAGCATCGCCGGCTTCTCGGCTCCCGACGAGGACAGCGCGGAGGCGAAACTCCACGAGACCGAAGTCGTCGATTTCGCGGACCAACACGCCGCAGCGGAAGCGGCGGAGGCGACGGAGAAGTCGGCAAATGTCTTCTTCTTGACATATGTGAGTCTATGCCTGCCTCCCCGACTCGAGAGGGATCTCGATTGTAAGAGAGTCTGGGGCCCCAAAAAAAAAAAAAAAATTCAACTGACATGGAGGACCCAAGGCATACTTCTTCATCTCGATCGGAATCGTAGTGATTCTCTGCTGTCTCATAGCGGCGCTGAGCCAGCGGAGGAAGCGATGGTATCACTGGATCCGGCTGGGACTGAGCACCCTGGTGGGGTTTGGGCTGTGCCTGCTCACGGCGATGGAGGCGGAAGGGCAGGGACCCGGAGCGAGCTTCATCCTCAGTCCGTGGTTGCTACCGACCGTGACGCTGTGCTTGTTGATCGGTAAGTCTCCACTCCCACATATCGTTCGCAACGGATTTTTTTTCGCAGCGCTAATGGTTGCGTAGTGGTCGTGTTGAATAATGTGAAACAAACTCATCCGGACGTAATCAAAGGGAAGAAGGGCAGGAAAGAGGCGAGCGCCAAGGGATAGGATTGCTTTTGCATTTTTTGCGAATAATAGACTCGGGGTTGAATTAGATAATACTCGGAACCATCCATCCGCCGTTCAGCAGATTCGGTGCTCCGGCGGCCGCCACGGTACTCCGAGAGCCGCGAAAATCTTCTTCTCGTCCTTGCCTTCCACGAGCTCCCCCTCGGTGAGCTTCACCCTTCCCGGTCCTCTCATGACGCCCTTGTACAAGCCTCGCTGGTTGAGCCGCATACCTTTGGTACTCGCGAGCAGTCGCAGGCTTCGATTGAAAATGTCATTCCCGGTGAAATAGATCAACGCAGCACCCAGCTCCTCCGAGGGGACCAGCAACAGATCCAGACGTCTCCAGGTCGTGGAGCCTGGGAGACACGACGCTCCGTGCCATTTGCTTCCGTCGTCGCGCGAGGTGATGGCCAAGCTGGCGACGAGGAAGCCATCTGCGGTGAGCTGTGGCACGAGCTGTCCGAGAGCGATATTGCGCAGATGATCGGCCTTGGTATTGGGACGCGTGATGATGCAGTCGATATCGCCCGAGTCCTTGGCGCCGCGTCGAAAAGAGCCCCCGATGATGACTTCGAACGCTGGGTCGATCGCGCGGAGTGAATTGCGGATGATGTTCCCGTGTCGTTGAACTTCTTCGCGGGGAATGCGTGAGTTGAAATCTTCATAGTGCTCGATACCGATGCGTTGATTGTCTGTCAAATTCGCTTTTTGCAGTAGTTCATCGAGATTGGTGTAGCCTTCGTCGACCCACTTGGTTGCTTGTACGATTCCAGCGCCATAAACTTTCATGAACGTCTGCAAGACTTGATCACTAGGCTCGGCACGGGCTTCATCCAGCCTTCTCAGGCGATTTGTCGAGGCAATCTCTTCGATTTTGACAGCGAGTCGCTCTCCGATGTTAGGGAGAGCGTGTGCTTCTTCCTTGGTGCAGACTTTGCTCGGATGGTTTCGTAGCATGGCTATGGCTTTTCTGTAGGCCCGTATTCGCCACTCATCTCCGGTCTGGCCGTAGTAATCTGCCATGGACTGCAAGATGTCGATCGTCTGCTGGTTGGGATTGTTGGGGTTATCGCCGGTGTGCTTCTGCATACACTGAAACCTGTCTTCTAGTTTTCGAACCTTGTTCTTTCGCTTGGCCAAAAATTGCTCGCCTGCTCTCCGCTCATCGTCGCTGTTGTCTGGTCCTTCGGAGCTCATTGGTTTGAGGTCCTCTTCGTCATCGAGTGGAATGTGCTCCAGAGCCTTCGCCCGTTCTATGGCCTTGTCCAGCTCTTCGCTGACTTCGATCTGAGTCTCATCAAAGCTATCGGCAATACGATCAGAAGCATCGGGCTTGTCATCTAGTAAGGGCCCTGGTGCAGCTGGCTTGGTATTTGTAGTTTCACTCCTGTATGCGGGAGGTGTTGCTTGGCGTCGACGAGCGGCCTCCGACTTACCAGCGGGCTTGAGCTGAGGAGAAGTGTTCGAATTCGCTGAAGCTGGTCTTGAAATTGAAGGAGGCTTGAAATCACTCACAGCGAATCGGGTTGATGTTGGGTCAAGCAATGTTCGATAGCTGATGCACTCAGCAGTGTAGTTTTCGGAGACAACGGCCACGCTTGATGGAAGGCCTTTCAATTTCAAGTACTTGATGAGTTGAGAGACTGTCAACGAACTGTCCAAGATGACATGGGTGACGAGAACCTCGTTCCACGACTTCAGCCATGCTGCTCCATGCTCAAGGCTTTTGACAATTCTCATGCGACGAGCTGGATTGGCGTCGTTATTTGGGAAGAAGTAGAAGTGAAGTCCAGAAAAGAGCTTCTGCTCCTGAGCTGGCGCAGTGGAAGCAGGAGCCTCTTCACGTCTTCGCTTCTCAGGAGCCTTGGAGGATGCTGAGGTTGGCCTTGGAAAGTCGGAGACACTCTTCCTTAGACCGCTTGGAATGGGTGGACGATTTGGCATTGTCCTTGTAGGATCTGTGCTCGATGGAACCGCAAATGGATCATCCTTCCCACCGACCCGGGTGTCGGAGTTCGAGCGTGCTAATGACCTAGATTTGGAAGTGGAATTGGAGAAGACAACCCGTGAGGGCGAGGGCGGTGGTCTGCCAGCAGTCTTATTCCATCTAGCTTTGGAAGCATCACGACCTGGATCGGGCGCATCGTCGTCTTCGCCTGGGTCATCGTACACATCGAACGCTTCCCTCTTCCTCTTCAAGTAGTCGATCTGGCGCTGCTCCATCGCGGCGGGAAGTTCAAGGTGCTCTTTGCGGGCACATGCATCTCGCGCAGGACACGGCAGTTTCTGGGCGCGGTAGTCTAGCGAAGTTGTGCGATTGCCGGCAGTTTAGAGTTGCCAGAGACATCACAGACATGGTGTTGTGTTGCAAGGTACCGGTACCAGTCCAGGCAGCAAAAGCCGAAGTTTACCCGAAAGCTTATTGTCCGGGCCGCTCCCTCCCTTCCTATTGTCAAGTCCCGCGTTTCTATTGTGAGGTCGCTGCTTCCCTCCCATCAAACACAGAAAGTTCTGTGCGTACTGCACAGTGCTGTGCATCGGTTGCTTCTAGCAGGCAACCTTCCAGCATGATTGGCTCCCCTTCTGTGACTTGGGAAGGTTTGCGCACGAGGTGTGGCTGGCTGGAAGGCTGACGCTCCTCACAATACCAACAACACACCACAATAGGAACCCTATTGAGCCTGGTCACTATAAGTCATGTCTTTCTGCTTCTCCATTCCTCCCCTCTTCCTCTCTACTTTCACATCTAACATTGACCCCTCTGCCTTAACTTTCAAAACGCACCTTCCTTGCGGTGGACCTTCTGAGGAAACTGCGACTCCCACCCTTCCCGAAGGAGACGACCTGGGATAGAGCAACCCGGCAAGGCCAAACGCTCTCCTCTGCCTGGCCGTCCCACTTCAAGACACCCTCTACAAATCTACCGCATCGACCTCCAATCCGACCCATCCAAGAACATACGTGTTCCACAATGGACTCCGCCGCACACCTCACCCAAAAGCTCCTCGCAGAACGAGCACGCAATCGACAGCAACACCAACAACAACAACAAGACCCACCACCGCCCTATTCCGAGTCCGACAACGACGCAGACCCCGACTCCGACGACGAAGAGGACGAAGAAGAAGGAGAAGATTACGAATCCCCCATGAAACTCGTCATCAACGCGACAAACACCATCAAGGGGTCCAACAACCTCGTCCCGACCAACAACCCCAGTCCCCTCGCGGATGCTTCCAAGTTCAGCACCCTGCTTCTGCATGCCATCAAGCAGATCGATGCTGCCAACGCTGCGGACTCTACCAAGCCGAATCGAGGACTGAAGGTGGATTTGACCATCAATTGTGGTATAACGGTCATCGGTGATCGGAACGTCGTGGGAAATGTGGGCTTGAAGCCCAAAGGTGCTAGCGCAGGATCAGCATCAGCATCAGCTTCCACGGCTGTCGTTGCGGGCGCAAAGAGAAAAGCGGAAGACGGCGTGCCTTCAGAAGCCGAGCCGGCTGTGAAGAAGGTATCAATGGGCGAAGACGACCACGCGTGAGACGCAGGAAGGAAGCGTGTTGAAGCAGAGCTATGTCGGAATTATTATGCTTGGACGTTAGGAGGCGTGGGTAGGCGAGCATTTCTCACTTTAGATGATCATCTTTATTGCTATGCCTAAGCGCTGCTGTTGGCCATCTGCTTTTGCTGTTGTTACACACTGCTTATTTAGCAGAGGATCTCATGATAGCTACCTTGCCACCATACGGCCCAAAATTCCAATGGTCCAGGCCACCTCACCAAGCCACTGCTATCAATTGCCACTTCCAGTTGCTTCGCCACGCTAATGCCCAAACACCATCATGGTGGATGGTGAGCTTGCTAACCATGCAACTTCCTCAAGAAATTTCCATTAGTCTGCATTGACCAGTGTCCGCCACGCCTGTCATGTTACCGGAGTGCCGCTTGGTTGCAACAAGGACTGGCGCTGGCCATATCCCGTGCTAAGGTAGCTGCCAACACCCGCCGCGCCCGGATAATTGCCACCAGAACCCCCGTGACCCTCAGCAGCAAGCCTCCGCTCGCGATACTTGCGCCCGTTGATAATGTTCTGCAGGCGCTTTCGTTCCCGTGGCTCAGTGATCTTCGTCCAGTCGAGATCCTCTCCGGGCTCGGCATAGTTGATGATATCAGCCATGGTGTTGGCGCTAATCTGTCCTTGGCCACCGGAAGAGGCACCGGTATAAAGATGAGAGGAAGGATTGAGGTCTTCCCGTTGCAGTCGCGGCGTCTGCGTCGGTGTCGATTGTGGGAAAGGTGCGAGATCCGACTGGAGGTGTGTGAGTTGGCGCGACGGTGCTGGCGGTTGGCCGTATTGCGGCATATTGGCTTCGCGGGAGCCCTGGTTCTTCTCATGAAAGAACAGTCGATCGTTCCAAGGGGGTAACCTCTTGTCGCGCTCGTAAAGGAGACCGCAATTGTGACATAGAGTCTATCGCGGTGGTCAGTTTCGTGGAATGGCAGTTTACATGGTGTGGTTGCACTCACTCTGGGTCCGTTAGGGCCGTCGCGAACACCCCATATCGCGGATCCCCAAACGTTACAGTGCGCACAACTCCAGTAAGCTCTTTCACCTTCACTGAGTTGACTTGTCGTGCCGCCGAAGCCCGCGAGCTCGGGCGTTTCACGACCGATAGGAGATAAGCTTCTGAAGCGACGCTTCTTCTTTGACCGCTCACCCCGACCCATGCGCTCATCGTCCCCGCCGTTCGCTTGCGACGAACCCAGACCGACAGAGAAGTAATCGCCCAGCCCACTGCTTTGCGCTTGTAACGAATGGCTCGTGGTGAAGCGTGCAGTCTCCCGTCGCTGTCTCCTTATTTGCCGTTCTCGGTCGCCCTCTCGCCTCTCGATCTCTTCCTTACTAAGGACTTCGATCTTCGGCTCCCAATCAGCCCCAAGAGCATCTTCATCGAATCTCCATCCTGCGCCAACTCCTATTGCAGGCTCGGCCGTACCATGATACTCGCAGGCTTCGTTTTCAATCACGCCCCATCCGTCAACGCCACTCCCAACGACACCGGCCAAAGTACCGTTGTTGTCTATCATATCCTTTTTCAATCGCAATGTCGCTTCGTAAATAGCATGCGCCATGTTAGGTACCCATTCACCCGGCAAACCCAAATCTGCACACGTCTGCTTCGCGAAAATCTCTGGGAACCCCGGTGGATGCAGAAGTGACCACTCAAATCTGTCTGTATACAGTCGATTCTGATGATTGATAGACAGTGTTATGACGCAACGATGGCTATCGGCCGGATTGAGAGCTGAGGATGCTGATGGATCTCTGGGCAAAGTATCGGCGGTTGCCGTTAGGTAGGGAGTCGACGTGCCGTTCGGCATTGGAGTTGGTGGGTCTGAGGTGGGTTGTTGGCCGTTGGTTTGTGGAGGTTGAAGCAAGCCAGCACTCGGAGTGTCTGCTTGCATAGGAGTTGAAGAATCTTCCCGCGATCCTGCGGGTCGTACAGAAGGAGTTGGTGCATTCGTGGTCGGCAACGGAGGATTATTGGCCTCCGGCTGAAAGAGGGGGTGAAGCGCAGTGGCTGCGTGCTCTTCAAGCTGCATACGGATCTGCTGGGAGATTTCCATTATCATAGCCTGTTTCCTCATGACAGGGAAGTCCAGTTCCTCGACAAAAGTCTTGGCGAACATGTCTGGCGTTATCAAAGCTTCATGCAAATTCCAAAGAAATTGATCTTTCAGTCGATATGGCGGAGTTGGCTCTGGCGCCTTGTATGCGGGCAGGTTCTCGTCAATACCAAAATCCTTGGCATTGTTGGGCGTCGGGAGTGCAGCCTCTGGGCGGAAGGGCGCTACTTCCAGGTCAATCTTGATTGGTATGAGAGTGGTTGGAAGCGCCGATTGTGTATGCATCTGCCTCTCGGTCAAGACGCGCTTTGGCTTGCCCATCCATTCTCGCCATATTCCTTGCACATCGACCGGCGCGTCTACCTCCTTGCCCAGCTCTTTGACCTTCTCCAACATGGGATCCGGTTCGCGTCGCTGCTGTGCAGTGCGCAAGCCGGTCGCTCGTCTCGGCGCATCGGAATCCTCTATACTGTCGTCGTCGAACTCCTCTGCATAGTTGATCGCGGTCGTGCCCCGTTTGGTGGTGCGCACAGGAGGGAGGACTGTCTGCGGTACGACAGGTGTAAGGAGGGGATTCCCGTATGTGCGGATTCGCGGAGCGTAGCTCGAGACGAAAGCTTGAGGAGCATTGTTGCGGTGGGTATTAACGGCCGCCATGCTGCGGGACACAGGGTCGGCCAGGTGTGGGTTTGGCGAGGCCCTACCAAGGGCCTGCCGTGGAGCGGTATACGTCCAGTGAGCAGTCGCGCGGCGATAATTGGTGGTGGATCGCTATCGCATTTAGACAATCTTGCAAATGAGACAGAGAGAGGGGAGGCGCTCTGGAGGAAGAGGTGGTGAATAGAAGCCGTGGTCGCAAAGTCCGTCGCGTAAGGTAGCGTGTCGACGTGAAGTTCTCTAGCTGCAGCACCACACGCAGGGTAGGGTTTGTGATGCCTGAGGCATGCATTGTCTTCCCGAGATTCCTAGCCAAAACCAGGGCAACCGCGAGCCGGATAGCGCAAAATCAGCGGTTGCAGCCGTCAGGATAGTACTCCGAGGTGCGAAGACGCTGTCAACAATCGCATCGCACCTCACCTAGCACTTGACCTCCCGCTACCGCTTGCCGATGGCATTTGATCCACCACGTCCGTCTCATCGTTCGAAGCCTGGTCACTTGGAACACGCGCAGTCGCTAGCCTACCTTACTCTACGCGCCAACTGGCGTTTCAAACCGATGTCTTGATCGCAAATGGATGGCCAGAGAGCGCATTCGGTGAGACCTTCCTCGCACTCTGCTGCGGTATGACTGCAACAAGGAAGACTTCTCCTTCGAGCCCTCGTCGTCTCTCATACCCATCCCTTGGTCGAGTCAAGGGGAGAACATACTCAGGCGAAGTGCTGAGTTGCTCCCCAGCGGCAATTGGCACTGTTGAATCCGGCGCCTACATTGACGACCAGCCCCATCGAGCTACGCCCTGCATCGTGAATATCGCCTATCGACAGTCGTGAACAAGCCATGGATCAAGCTTTGTCGAGCTTAACAATGGCGCTTTCACACAGCAACAATAGAACAATAAAGCTGTGGGTCACTACCTTCATATAAGTATCCTACCAACTTCTCCTCATCATTCTCGCACCCTCTGCCCTCCAGCTTCAACCACAACACAGAACTGTCGCTCGTTTCCCCCAAGCAAGTCTTCCACCCTCTCGACGAGCACACTTGCACTTCGGAGCTATCAAGTCCAAGGCTTCGCAACAGAGACACTCTCTAGCAAAAACGCTCTAGCCGGCCTAGAAACCCAACATACTTCGACGACAGTCGAGACTCGCGATTCCGACAATCCTCACCTACAAGATGCGTTCCAACACAGCAACACTCGCCATTCTGTCACTCTTGTGCGCCTTGTCTCTCGGCCACATGAAATTGAATCATCCAGTCCCTTTCGGCGGCTCAACACTGTCACTGTCGCCACTAGCAAATGTCAAACCGGGCACCCAGGGAAGCGACTTTCCGTGCCAGCAGCGCCCCGGAGTATACCACATCGATGAGATGAACGACATGAAGGTTGGCGAACCACAGCTGCTCAATCTCACGGGAACAGCGTCTCATGGAGGCGGAACATGTCTTATCAGCGTCTCGCTGGATCTAGAACCCGACTACAAATCGACATGGAAGGTGATTCAAATCTTTGAAGGCGGTTGTCCGACTGAATCAAATGGGAACACCGGCACTCACCCCTTCGCCTTCACTATCCCAGAGAAATTTCCGAATGGCAGAGCTACCCTTTCCTGGACCTGGTATAACCGAATTGGTGACAGGGAGATCTATCAGAATTGTGCTCCCATTGACATAACCGGCGGTGCTGATAACAAAGACTACTACGACCAGCTACCGAACCTCTACCTGATAAACCTTCCAACTTCGGAATGCTCTAGTGTGGAGATGTCCGACCTTGAGATTCCTTTCCCAGGTCAATTTGTTCTCCGAGATTCTCAGAAGCTTGCAAGCGCGAGCGGTCCAAGTTGCGCGGCGTCTGCGGCTGCGATGACCAAGGGCGTCTCCGGTTACAAGACCGCAACCTTGAACGATGGCGCCGCGTACTCTGCTCCAGCCAATGGGGGTGGCAACCAGACAGTCTCGGCTTCTAGCGCCCCTCAAACGACCTCTGCTCCGGCTAGCAATACGGCCTCATCAGTGGCAACCAGCTACAGCGCGCCATCAGAAGCTGTATCTACTGTGACGACCTTGTCCACATCGAGAAAACCAACATCGGTGGCTTCTGCATCGGTCAGCTTTGCAACTATGACTGTCTCCGGGACCGCTGGCATCTTTGGGCCTACTACTGGAACTGGGACAGCTGCTACTCCTGCAGGAACTGGCACTACTTGCTCTGGAGACGCTATTCACTGCTCCGCGGACGGCAGCCAATTCGGACTCTGTGACCACGGCAAGATCGTGTGGCAGAAGGTGGCATCAGGCACCAAATGCCAGGACGGCAAAATCGCCAGACGTGCCACTCCATGGAATGTGCATGCTCGCCGTCACGTAGCAAAGGCCGTTCATGAAGTATGAGCTTTGGATCGCCTTTTGCTTCTTTCAATTCTTCCGTCCACTAATTCTTGCACCAATTTTTTCGGCTTCCTAGTCACTTCTGCAACTCTGGTAGCGGGCTCGAAGCAGACATGTTGACGGACACTACAGCTGTCTCGCTGCTGTCCGAAGATCCGTTACCCCTGTTTTCGCTGGGATATTCGGAAGCAAATAACCTTTCAATGTGAAAAGATGCTGTAGAACATGGAGAGCACAGAATTCATGAGGTTGTGCAGGGCCCTTCTAGCAATTCTGCTTTTGGATTAACGTATTTAATGAGAATAAAGTCATTGATTGAATTTACAATTCTTCAACTCAGCTTCGTTGGTGAGACTACTTCCCGTTGACATCGTGAAGACTATTATGACATGTGAACGTATGTCACGTGAATGTTCCCAAGCTTTCGTTAGCCAGAACCTTAACTGCGCTCCTCACATCTCAGGGCATGTGGCACACATCACCTTGACAACTCAACTATTTTGCGACCAAACGCGCCCTTCTATCAGACCATGATATTGCGATAGCGAGAGTGCATCAACATCACAGCTGCAGTGCAGATCATGTCGCAGTCACACGACCTCCATCGCGCTCTCCTTCGGCCGGCCATCATTCACATCCTGCGCGCGCAAGGCTTCCACAGCACGAAACCCTCAGTATTGGACACATTAGTCAACCTTGCCGAACGACATATCCTCGCTCTAGCCTCAGCGACCGCGCAACATGCTTACGCAAGCCACAACGATCCCGTGCCGACAATCTCAGATCTACGGATGGCGCTTTCGGCTAGCGGAGTCCTGATACCTCTCACCTCGCCCTCGGAAGAAGCATGGAAGGAATACATGCGCAGACCTCTTCCGGAGCTGGCGCAAGCGGTCAAGGGTGCAGAAGAGCGCGTGCAAGCCGCGAAGCGGAAACGAGACGATGAGGATACAAGGGATGTGAGAGAGTTTACAAGCTGGTATGATTCCGCTTCGTATAAGGAGATCAAGCGCGTGGCCGGATTGATACCTGATCCTAATACCTCTGGGATTGCGGTCGGCGTTGGAGGCGGTCTGATGCATGGGGATGATTTCTTGACCACGTTGAAAAAGAAGCAGAACAAGGCAGGGGCGGATCATGATGCGAGATTGCAGGGCACAGTCCTCGGGCGAAACGGCGATGATAGAGAGATCTTTGTGGAAGGCGGGCCGGTACAGAGAATCAGAGACTGGAGGCCTCCGCCTCCGCCCCGGACTGAGGACAGAAACGGGAGTCCAGAGCAGGCGGAGAAGAGGGATGTGTCGCCCGCAGATATGGCGATGCACGAAATTGCAGCTGCGAGTTGAGCTCGCATTCACTGCTTGCATTCATGGGCTTAAGTGAAGATTTAGCGATGGCGTTGGGGCTTGAAAGTTGTCTAAGAGCAAGTACATATCATACCCCTCAGTATGTACATTTCGAGCTGGTGTGCACCGGCGCGTGTTCGTGACTACTTCAATTCGTGATTTGAAATTTATTCAATTCCTCAAGGCGTTCCGTTTCTTGCAGTCGTCATGTCTCCCGTATGTACACTCCTTGAAGTACAAGGAGCTATTTGGAATGTCCATTTGCGGCGCCGTTCGCTTTAGTGTGGCCATTCATCTTCTTAGCCTCCTTCCCGGACCGAAACTTGGCGATATCCTTCTCGACAGCCTGGTCGAGCCTCGACTTGAGCTCAGGTCGGTAGCCGAAAAAGAAGAGAACCTCCAACCAGACGAAGAATGGTGCAAGGAAGATGGCTTGGACGAGGTTGTCGAGCAAAGCGGGAGCTCGACCCTCGAATACGCCGTGTCCGAGAAATTGCACAAGCCAGGATACAACGTGCACCCCGATGGCAATGTAGTTGGCCTTCATGCCGTAGGTTGAAGTCAGGTGGTTAGCGTAAGCAGTGCCACCTAGCAGTAGAGGCGCTAGCATTGCGCCGGCTACCGGCTCCATCAATATGTATAGGGACGAGTATGTGATGCAGGCAATCGTCCCCAAGTTTGGTGGCAAATATGGGATCGCGAGCCATTCCGGTACAGGCAGAGACGGCGAGTTGGTCCCCTGAGTTCAAAATCAGTTGTAGTTCTCCATGCTGGAGTTATTGACATACGAAGAGAAAGCCTGTCAACAGTAGAATCGGTACAAAGGTGATGTGGATACCGACGTTGACCTTGAGAAGTTAGGACGACAAGCGAGATTTCCAAACAGATGTTCATTCTCACCGGGTCATGATGGTATTGTCCATACTAGCGGCACAGTCAGTAACACTCCAAACATGATTGAGTCGGATTCGTTTACAAATTGCAACTGCTTCTCGAGGTTCAGCGCCATGCTGATGGCTGCTTCCGGCTTGTCCCGCGAGGTGATAGCAGTACCAGCGTTATTGTGTTCTCGAGAATCCTAGCAAAAGCCAGGCCAACGGGGAGTCATATAGCGCGAAATTTCCAGTAGCAGCCGTCGAAATATGTGCAAGAAGTGAAGCACGACTGAAAGAAAGTAGCATGTGCAAAGGTAAGAGAGTAGCATGTGCAAAGGTGTGAGGTAGTGAGGAAAGAGTCGTCGGCAGAGCGGCCGCTCGGACCACATCTCTTGGCACCAGCTTTGCTCTCAATCAAGTCCGACTGCTCTCATCAACACCACCCATCTCTCCACTCACCACTTCATCACATCGGCGCTGGGATCGGCTTCCACCACATCCAGCTGACACAGCACCGCAATCATGTTCAGAAACGCGCTCCGGACGAGCGCCCGCGCCGCCGGCGCCCTGTCGACCAGCAGCACCACCAGATTTGCAGTACGTCAACCCCATGCCCACCGACGCCGCCCGGAGCTCCAATGCCTCCCGAATCCATCGCCGGCGAGCTCGATCGACCTGTACCGAGCGCTTGGAGACGGTTGGGCCAGTATTGGAGCGCTATGGGAGCTTTGGGCGAGCTCTGAAAACATGCCTACCTGCCCCGAGGCTATTCAGGGTCAAGCGCGCTAACATCATCTCTTTTCATGAACAGCAGCGAACAGCGCCCGCCGCCGTCAACGCATTCACTCGCGGCTATGCTGCCGACGCCAAGGCCTCTCCCACCGAGGTCTCCTCAATCCTCGAGCAGCGAATCCGTGGTGTGCAGGAGGAGTCAGGTCTCGCCGAGACTGGCCGTGTCCTCACTGTCGGGTATGGCGGACATGAATAGCAATACAGAAAGAACAAACATGGCTGATACATTGCAAAGTGACGGTATTGCCCGTGTCTATGGCATGAACAATGTCCAGGCTGAAGAGCTGGTCGAGTACGTCGGATACATGAAGTTCACATTGGGATACAGATACTAACCTCCGTCAAGGTTCGCCTCTGGCGTCAAGGGCATGTGCATGAACCTCGAAGCCGGTCAGGTCGGTGTTGTGCTTTTCGGTTCCGACAGATTGGTCAAGGAGGGTGAGACCGTCAAGCGTACCGGCGAGATCGTGAGTTGGCTGCAGTACCAACCAAAGGACGTACTTTCAATACTAACAACGCCCAGGTCGATGTCCCAGTCGGACTGGAGATGCTCGGCCGTGTTGTTGACGCTCTTGGAAACCCCATCGATGGCAAGGGCCCAATCAAGACCACGGAGCGACGCCGTGCTCAGATGAAGGCTCCCGGCATTCTTCCCCGCAAGTCCGTCAACCAGCCCGTGCAGACCGGTCTCAAGTCCATCGACGCTATGGTTCCTATCGGCCGTGGTCAGCGTGAGTTGATTATCGGTGACCGCCAGACTGGGAAGACTGCTGTTGCCCTCGACGCGATGCTGAACCAGAAGCGCTGGAATAACGGGAACGATGAGACGAAGAAGCTTTACTGTATCTACGTCGCTGTGGGTCAGAAGCGTTCTACTGTTGCTCAGCTCGTCAAGACTCTCGAGGAGAATGATGCTATGAAGTACTCCGTCATCGTCGCCGCCACTGCTTCTGAGGCTGTAAGTTTTGCCTTTTCCAAACGACATTTCCAAACTTTAACTAACCTTTATCCAGGCTCCTTTGCAGTTCTTGGCTCCTTTCACCGGTTGCTCCATGGGCGAGTGGTTCAGAGATCACTCGCGCCACGCCGTCATCATCTACGACGATTTGTCAAAGCAGGCCGTTGCCTACCGTCAAATGTCCCTCCTGCTCCGTCGCCCACCAGGCCGTGAGGCCTACCCCGGAGAGTAAGTTCAGTCTGTCCCCCACCAACAAGAGTCTGCAGCTAATGAGTGCAGCGTCTTCTACCTCCACTCCCGCCTTCTCGAGCGCGCCGCCAAGATGAACGACAAGCTCGGCGGCGGTAGCTTGACTGCCCTCCCCATCATCGAGACTCAGGGCGGTGACGTCTCCGCTTACATTCCAACCAACGTCATCTCCATTACAGATGGGCAGGTCTTCTTAGAGGGCGAGCTGTTCTACAAGGGTATTCGTCCAGCCATCAACGTCGGCCTCTCCGTCTCTCGCGTCGGCTCCGCCGCTCAGGTCAAGGCCATGAAGCAGGTTGCGGGCTCTCTCAAGCTCTTCTTGGCTCAGTACCGTGAGGTACGTACTGCATGTTCCCACTACTGATAACATTACTGACTCTGTCCAGGTCGCCGCCTTCGCACAGTTCGGTTCCGACTTGGACGCTGCTACCAAGCAGACCCTGAGCCGTGGTGAGCGTCTCACCGAGCTGCTCAAGCAGAAGCAATACAGTCCTATGGCCGTCAACGAGATGGTTCCCTTGATCTTCGCTGGTGTTAACGGTTACCTCGACAAAGTTCCAGTCAACAAGATTCTGCAGTGGGAGGCCGACTTCCTTAACCACATCAAGACCAACGAGAGCGGACTCATGGAGACGATTGACAAGGAGGGTGCGCTCAGCAAGGACCTCGAGGCTAAGCTGAAGGAGGTTGTGCAGAACTTCACCAAGAACTTCTCGTAGAATCACTAGACGGTTCGTGATGGGGTTGGGGCGTGTATAGTACAACAGGCAAGCGTGAGATCTCCCAAGACGAAAGAAGTCCCATGCAGCTCAGTGCCAAAAGTAGGAGCAGAGGCTGCATTGTAGATACGCGAGTTATTGGTTTCCTTTGTTCGCCAACGAATCTTCTCCGTTTCTCGATTCCACTTCAGAAGCACAACAATGCTGTGAATGCCATGGAACACTTACGTTGCGGAGGAGATGCAAAAGATTTGGCAAGGCGGCACCTGCGCGCGGACAACTAAAGGAATCACGATAAGACTCCCGCGAAGAAAGAGCTGTTGTCTCGCTCGTAGGGCATCTCCAAGTGTTGGGTCAAGCTGAAGCTCACTGAGTGCCTATCATTACCATACGCTAGAGTACTGCTACAGAGAGTATACATCTCCAACCGCCGGGGTAATTCTGAGCTCACGACATGCCCACCATTGCCATATGCTAGAGCACTGCTACGGAGAGAATACATCTTCAACCGCCGGGGTAATTCTGATCTTACGACATGCCCATCATTGCCATATGCCAGAGCCCTGCTACGGAGAGAACAATTTGCCCCACTGCTTCATCGAGTCACTATAATGTGAACCTTGAGCCCCAATCATCCTCAACCCATGCCACAGCGTTACCGCCACGCTGTCCAGAACACAAACCCCCAATTCGGCCTCCAATTCGGCGACGAGAGGCGCTGCCGGCCAATTCGTACAAGCAACGAGAACGGCCTGTGTCTTGCCCGGAACGACAGAACGTCTGATTACCTCCCTGATCTCCTCGGGACTGCACGTGGCAATATCAATGTTGCTGGCCGGCGTGGTGTCCATACAGCATGCGGAATGGACAGTATAGCCTTCGTTGGTGAAGAAGTCCGAGACTCGCTTTGTCAATTCGGGCGTGTAAGGAACTGCGATGGAAATGTCCCTAATGCCGAGGAATTCCAGCGCAGCGCAGGTGGCGAGGGTGGTAGTGCTACAGGGCGTCTTGTTCGGGGTAGCATCGCTCATGGCCCTGGCGAGTGCTTGATCCGAGGCGAGGGCTCCGCCGACGAACATTCCGGATGCGCCGTTCCAGAGGATGGCGGCGGGTTGGGCGTCGGAGAGGAGTTGGGATGCGGTGGTGAAGGTTTCCGTGTTGTTGAACTGGGCGAGGGAGGACGGGTCTGTGCCTAGGGTCTGCACGCGGATGCGGGTGAAGATTGGGATGATGGTGATGTTTTTGGGGAGGGAGTGGAGCATGGAGATGGTGAGGGCTTCGACTGCTGTGTTTGAGGATGGGACGATGAAGGCGAGTTTGGGGGAGGCTGAGAGGGAGGAGGGTGTTGAGGGTGGCATCGTAGAAGGTCATCGATTTTTGAGAGTATGGTGGCTTGTGAGTTTCAGCTCGAGCAGCTATATGAGATGTGCAGAGGCATATAGATAGGCGTGAGATGCACTCGCCGTGCGGCTGTTTCGATTGCTTCCCAATTGCCTATTGAGAGAGTGTCTTCGCAAGTCACGACGCTATCTCGAAGACTTGACTGGATGATGTGCTAGTGTCCAGCTCGCCGTGCCTCCAATTTCTGCCAATTTCTTGGAGAAGAGGACCACTTTCCACACTCATTCACTCATAACACAAGGGAAGTGAGCTGGGCTTCTAGACACTAGGATCTCGGGAATAAGCGGCATTTGACACACGAGCCATCCTCCGCCCCGAGGGTCAATTACACTTCGTCAAGCTCCAGACCTCCACTTGCACCCTAGAAAGCGTTCATCATCCAACATGTGAAAGCCACACAACCCACGAGCGAGAGAGCTCACCACTACAAGATCCGAATAATACACCTCAAACGACTCTCTCCACCATGCAGGAACTCGACATGCTCATCCTCGGCGCAGGCTGGACTTCCACCTTCCTCATCCCCCTCCTGCAATCCAAGAAATGCAACTTCGCCGCGACAACCCGCGACGGCCGCAGAGTTGCAGGCGTCGAAACCCTGCAGTGGACTTTTAATCCCGAGGGAACCACCTCTGCCATCTCCAATCAATTCTCTTCCTTGCCCTTGGCCAAAGCAGTCCTCATCACCTTCCCCCTCACCGGCGAGAAGCAATCTACGACTCTCAAGAAGGGCTACGAGGAAGCCAAGCAGAAATCCGAAATTCGCTTCATTCAGCTCGGGAGTACGGGGATCTGGCAGATTCCAGACCAGAAGAGCATCTGGCTGTCTCGGGAGAGTCCTTACGATACCACCAACAAGCGCGCTGTCGCCGAGGACGAACTGCTCGGGCTGGGAGGTTCGGTGTTGAATCTCGCGGGCCTGTGGGGCGGAGAACGAGATCCGAGGGATTGGGTGGACCGTGTTGCGAAGACAAAGGAGGAAGTCAAGAGTAAGAAGAGTTTGCATCTCATACACGGGGAGGATGTAGCGAGGGCGGTGGTGGCATTGATGGACAATTGGGAGAAGACGCGAGGACAAAGGTGGATGCTCACTGACGGGTTCGTCTACTGTTGGTGGGCGCTATTTGCAGGTTGGGGAGACGGAAAGGGAGAAGATACCGATCCCAAGAGGAAGCCTTCCAAACAGGCGCAGTGGGTTTATGAGCTGATGCAAGAGGAGGGTGTTCAGGCTTTACCAAGGAGCAGCGAAATCCTGGGAAGATGTTACGACAGCAGAGAATTTTGGTCGACGTTTAGTCTTGCGCCGCTGAAGGCGCGTATCTGATCAGGTTGAATGCTGCAGAGCGGTTACAGACCTTCCGTGCAATCTTCTGATCGACACTGTTATATGTGTCTGGAACCAAGTGCATTTTCTCGGAGCATCTCGACGAATGTAACGTGCGCTGCCAGGCTTTGCGCTGTCAAGCCTTGCGCAAAACATTGGTAAGTTTCGGCTCGTGAAACCTGATTGTCATCGGGGCACTCTTCCGTAATCAGGGCAGATACGGAGCCGGAGCTTTTCACTGACAGAGCTCCCGTGGAGCACAGCTGCGGTAGATGTATTCGGATCATGAAAGACAACTCTCAGCCGTCTCTCATTTTCTTCTGTGGCGGGCGTAGCAGAGAGTCATCGGGCAGGCCGCTCCTCTTGGTGCCGGGCAGACTACCAGTCCCAATCTCATGAGCTTCCGTGCTCACTTTCCGGGGAGGATACTTGGTGTCTAGCCCTTCGAAACAATTCCAGGATGGGAGCTTGCCATCGCCAGTAAAGTAGGGATGCTTCAGAGCTTGCTCGGCTGTAAGACGTTTCAATGGATCGTACTCCAAGAGCTTCTTCAGGAGATCGAGCGCACTGTCGTCCGGCGGTGGGTGTGTCTGGCCATAGTGACAATTCTGCAGCGTGTTCCTATACCATTTCTCAAGACCGAGCGGCCTGTTGACGCCCGGATTGTGCATGTTGACCGTTTGCAGGCTCGGAAACTCCGGCATGGCCGGTAAGAGCGGCCAGTCTGATTTCTTTGGAAGACCAAGGATCTCGCCGATTTTCCCCATCTGATTTCGCTGGAATGGCACGGATTTCTTCGAGTCCTGTTTCGCTTCCTCGCCTTTGAAGATGGGGCGGAGGGAGAGCAGCTCGGCAAAGATGCAGCCCACTGCCCACAAGTCGATGGCGGGTGTATAGTGTCGACTGCCCAACAATAGCTCCGGTGCTCGATACCAGATGGTCACGACGACTTTGTCACCGGAGAAGAGGGCATGCAGCGGCTTGTAGAAGAGCCGAGCGAGACCCAAGTCCCCGATCTTGATTGCTCCCGAGGATGTCACCATGATGTTGGCGGGCTTCAGATCTCGATGGATGACCCAGTTTTGATGTAGATAGAGCAGACCGGAGAAGATCTGATACATGCAGGATCGAAGGGCCGAGGCTGGGATGGGCGTTCGCGGGAGCAAGCTGTGGTGGTGGATGATCTGCAGCAAGTCGTGCTCGGCGTACTCAAACACCATGAAGATGCACTTGGACTCGAGGATGATCTCGACCAGGTGGATGAGGGCGGGATGGCTCAGCTCGGTGCATAGCGCCATTTCCCGGATGGCAGACTGTGAGATGCCCGTGTACTGGAGCTCGCCTTCCTTGTCCGGCTTGAACTTCTTGATTGCGAATGCTTCGATTGCTCTGCCATCGGGATGCTTGACGGGGGAAGACTGAGTTGAAGCTGATGGGCGTTTCGACACCGCCTTGTAGACGCGGCCATAGGTTCCGCTGCTGATGAAGCCGACGATGTCGTAGTGGTCGTTGATGTGCCGCTGGGGTGCGTACGGCGTCGCATTCATCTTGACGAGAGGTGGAGTCTCAGGAGCCTCTGGAGGATGTGAGTAGATGCTGGACACGCATAACACATATTGGAGCGGATTCAGCCGAGCATTGCGAATGCGAGATGGGATGGTGAGCGGATGGGGCGACTTGGTCAGGAGCGACGATTGTTCCCAGGTGGCACAGGCAAATTCTCCGTGCAGGTCATGTTCCGCCACGTTTCAAGCAAATGCAGCGCAGTAGGAGGATGAGATGGTAATAGTATTGCGTTGGTAGTCACTGACCTTCGAAGGCGGCCTGTGCAGTCCGCTTCAGGCTCTGGCTCTGGCTCTGGCTCTGGCTCTGCACGGGGCCAGCACTGGCGGGCGCATTGTTAGTGCTATGATGATGCGTCCTAGCCGTACTGGCCGAGGGAGGATTAGAAGAGGTCATCCTTCTAGTGGTGGTGGTGATCCGGCCCAAAGGGGGTTCCTTAGTAGGGGCCGTACCGTTGGCTCCGGACTGCCCGGAACGAAGAGTGGAAATGTCGTCTCGAAGCTTCTTGGCGTGCGTGCTTGCTGTCGCGTGCTTGCTGCCCTATAGGGACCTGTCAAGCCTGTGCTACCTTACACCTCACTCGCATGTGATGATCCATGACGGATTCCGCCGCGTCCGCACATCATGGCAATCCGTCGACTACGGTATCATTCCCCAACAACACAACACGCACATGTAACATCCACTGGCCATAGCGCAATAATCGCCCACACACACCGTCTTGCCACGAGCGACGCGGACCGCCAACCATGGCGCTGACGAATGCCTTCGGCGACCTCACGCCCTACTTCGTCTACCTCCTCCTCTCTGCCACGCTGGGCCCACTCCTCTTCGGCTACCACCTCGCAGAGCTCAACGCGCCGCAAGATGTCATCACATGCGTCAAGAAGGATCACAAGGCTTCAGCATTCCCACGGCTGAAATCTGCCCTGGGCTACGGAAGAGCGGCTGCCTCGGACACGGCTCTCCCACAATGCATACCCATGAACGCGATCGAGTTCGGCCTCGTCTCGTCCTCCTTCACTCTCGGAGGATTACTCGGAGCTCTGGCCGCAGGACCTACCACCGCGAAATATGGACGACTACGATCCATGATCATCTCCGCTGCCTTCGCCGTGGTCGGTCCAGCCTTTGAAGCAGCCGCGCCGAACATTGGTGTCATGGCCGTGGGCAGACTCCTTTCTGGAGTGGGAGCCGGTGCCGCGACGGTCGTTGTGCCCATATACATCAGCGAGATCTCGCCTCCCGAGCAGCGTGGCTTGTTCGGCGCCTTTACCCAGATCTTGACCAACTGCGGAATCCTCATCACGCAGGCTCTTGGCCTATTCTTAAGCCGAGGCCAGTTATGGAGAATCATTCTGGGAGTAGGAGGCGTCATCGCTGTCATACAGGCAATAGCATTGATCTCGGGCGGCTCGGAGAGTCCCAGATGGCTCGCAGACAACGGGAAAGCATCACGGGGAAAGCAGGTTCTCCGGAAGATTCGAGGCAGCGGAGCCAACATTGAAGAGGAAGTGTCCACGTGGGGAGTCGATGCAGCGAACGACATTGAAGATGAAGAACAGAACCTGTTGGCGCACGACGACGAGCAAGCCTCTCTATCCCAAGGCAAGCACAACACTAGTTCCAGCATCGGCACCTTTGCGGTACTGAAGCACCGCGACTACGCCCCGGCCGTCCTCGCCGTAGCCGTCATCATGGTCGGCCAGCAATTCACCGGCATCAACAGCATCGTCATGTACGGCGTCTCCCTCCTCTCCGACCTCCTCGCCGCCAACTCCGCCGTCCTCAACGTCGCCGTCGCCGCCGTCAACGTCATCATCACCACCTCCTGCGCCCCCCTCTCCGACCGCTGGGGCCGCAAGACCTGCCTCCTCCTCTCCATCGGCGGAATGGGCATCAGCTCCATCCTCCTCGCCGTCGGCATCATGCGCACCATCCCCATCCTCTCCGCCATCGCCGTCGTCTTCTTCGTCGCTTCTTTCGGTTTCGGCCTCGGTCCCATCCCCTTCATCCTCGCGGCCGAGCTGGTCAACACGGAAGCCGTGGGCGCCACTCAGTCCTGGGCTCTGGCGGCAAACTGGCTCGCCACCTTCATCGTCGCGCAATTCTTCCCCTTGATCAACGAGAAAATGGGCAAAGGACAGGTATACTTCATCTTCGCCGCCTTTGCACTCGTGTTCGGCGCCTTTGTGGCCTGGTACGTGCCCGAGACCTGTGGGAGGAGCCCGGACGAGGCATGGGGGAGGCGCAAAGCTCCCGACTTGGAGGACTGAGGTAGTTATTCATCGTAGCTGGAGTATCGGCCTCTCATCACAGCTGAAGAGTCAGTCTCGTATTCAAGTGTGCGCGAGCATGGTTCCATGAATGTTTCGGTTGTTTTTCTATTTTGGACTACTGCTCTAGAATCCAAATCCACGCAATTTCCCCCACACATCATCAAAAAAAAACAGGAAGACCGTCCTGCGCTTCCAAAGAAAACACAAAACATGAAGAGAAGCACTAGTCATGCCATGACGGCTCACCTCGCCGGGTACCGTAATGCCCATGGAATACCGCGGGCAGCAGAACGCCCTGAATATGCTAACCATCCGCGCGGTGACGTAATCAACTCTCACATCTCACACAGCCATCATGTATACATCCCAGTCCCTCATGCATTTCGTTCCATGCATTCCGTTGATTACAAGAGGGTGGCGCCGAGAAGAGTGCAGAGGATGACGACTCCGCTGATGACGAAAGGAGCCATACTGGTCTCGCCAGGGCGGACAGCGTTGGCAGCACCAGAAGAAGAGGAAGGGCTGGCGGTGGAAGTGACGGTACCACTTCCTGCAGAGGCAGTACCAGTCGATCCGGCACCGGCTTCCTGGGAGCCATCTCCAGTAAGACCCGGACCCTTGCCTGCGCCCTTCTGCATGTACTTCTCAGCACCGTTTGGCATCGCGGGAAGGGCCTCGCCGGTGAAGTCCTTGACCTCCCAGGTGTTGCTCTGGGATGGGCACTTGCTCGGCTGGCCGTTGGACTTGTAGCCGCCGTCACCCGATGGTGGCTTCTGGGCGCTCAATGCGTTCTGGAGAGCGGTGAAGTCGCTCATCTCAGTGACCTGGTTGCCGCTGATCTTGACGAGACCGTAGCCGTTGCCCTCCTCCGAGTACTCGTAGACGAGACCTCCGGAGTAGACAGCAGTCATCTCATTGCTGTAGAGAGCATGGACTTCCTGGAACTGACGCTTGTTGGTGATGCAACCGTACTCGGACAGGCTAACGATAGTCAGTACAAGTTTCCAGGTGTTGTTGAAGTCGAGATACTCACAAAAGGGGAATGCTGTAGTCGCCGTATTGCTTGACCTTCTGGTCCCAGCCGGACTGCTGGAAGGAAGATGGGTCACACCACGAATAGTCGTTGAAAGCAAAGAAGTCGCTGCGCTGGTCATCGGTACCGCAGTTCATGTAGGACGCCATCTCAAATCGGTTGCTCTCGACATCAGCAGCAGAGTATCCCACAGGAATCTTGCGGTATCCGCGGGTGCCAAGGTACTGCTTCATGTCTCGGGTGACAGCCTTGATGTAGGGGGCGCAGTCGGTAGTCTTGTCCGAGTTGATGACCTCGTTTCCGGAGAAGAAAAGCAGAGTGTTGTCGTATTTGGCGAAGGCATCGATTGTTGCGAACACGCTCTGAAGGTACATGGAGTTGTAGGAGACGGATGGATCGGCTCTGTTGAGGGAATACTTGGGCGAGTTCACGTCGAGGGCCAGGTAGATGCCAGCATCTTCCAGAGCGGACATGCACTCGTCGTGGTCGGCGGTGTTGTCGACCGTGTAGACGCGGATGGTGTTGATGCCCAGCTTCTTGAACTCGGCGACATCTCTCTTGCAGCCATTGGCATCTGCGATGGGGTCGGAGGCCTTGGAAGAGCCGCCTGGCTGGTAATCGAGACCGCGGACGTAGAAGCGGTCGTTGCCAGCGAAGAAAGCTGATGCAGCGTTAGCGAGAGTGCAGATTTACGTTGCGTCGCATGCGTGCGTTCCCGGCGCGATGGATGCCGCGAATCCTACCTACCATTTCCCTTGACGGTCACGGGGGGCAGCTTGCCAGCGTTGGCCAGGGCGGCCGAAGCGGCGAACAAGGCGACTGCGCCCTTCATGATGCAGTGGTTAATTAGTAGTCTGAGTAGAATTCCGGGTGTAAGCGAAGGGGTCGGGCTGCCGGATGGAATTGGAATGTGGCGGAAAGCGATTGACCGGAGTCGTTGAGTGAAGGGAGAGGGGAGGGAAGAGAAGAGAGTCTCGAAACGAGGGAGAGACTGGATTTGATGATGAAGTGGGATGGAATGGGTAACGAGAGTGGCGGATGAACAGGAAGGAGGAAGTGCGGTGGTGGGAGAAGTGGTGGAAGGAGTGGTTGAGGAGAGGATGGGAAGAGGAGGGAAATGCAATCGATGGATGGGCAAGCGCGACCCTGCACGCGGTGTGCTGACCTGACCTTCCCCTTTCTCGCTCCGCGCCGCCGCAGCAGCAGCAGCAGCAGCAGGAGCGGAGCAGCAGCAGCAGCAGCAGCAGCGGAGAGGGAAGCGACGACTGGAGGAGCAGCAGGCAGGGCAGAGCATGCAGTGCCACGAATTCCGCCCAGGGAAGCTTCCTCTTCACACTTCCGCACCCCCAATCGTCGTCCGCCCCTGCCCCTGGACACTGTTGATCCTCACTCCAGCCTGGACGAGCAGTGCACAGTGCACCCATACAAGCCCCACCCTTGGCGAGGATTTTCGTCTCTCCATTCGTTCTGTGGTTCCAATCCGCGACCTCATCCACTCCATCGGGGCGCGACCTCATCCGCTTCATCGGAACATTCACCCGCTGAAACGCAGCCGAGTTTCAGACGTCACCTCCCGCGTCGTTGCCGTTGCGTTGCCAGTTGCATCCCAGACATGGATGGCACCGTCGAGCTCGAGCACCAAGCGTCGCCATGACATGACAAGAAACACCATCGGGATCTTTGTAATCCTGTTGCGTCGGAAGAGCCTGCGCCGGGCGTCGTGTCGTATCCTGCTGCGTGTCAGCCGTGTCTGTCTGTGCCTGATCCGTACCCCGGATTATCAGTCCGCCCGCTCTAGCAAGGTGCATTGTGCATTGGCACATTGGGGTCACAGTGCCTGAGGAACAGTGCTGCCTTTTCGGTCGCACCAGCTGTGTGAGATGGGCACACACCTGCGACACGTGGGCGTCTGGGCGGTGGCCTGAGCTTACAAATCCGCAAAATGGTTTTGCCGACTGCCGAAGCGGCACTCGCTGTGAGTCGCGACTCACTCTACCACCACAATAACAACTTACGACGGCGATAATGAGGCTCTACGAGTGTCGCGCACCGCTATTGTCGACGTAAACGGTTAATATAAAGTCAGGCGCAGCTTTACTATTCTAGCTATATACTATTAGCGACAAGAAGAGCTATACTATACTACAGCTTAATAGCTATAACATCTCTTTAAGGTAGTATTAAGAGCTCCGCCGTACTTACGGCCTTAAGCGTCGACTAGAACACGAGGAATCAGAAGCAGCTACTACCTACGTCGATAAGGTGCTTCGAGTAGTACTAATTAATAGGCAAACCTAAGACTTTAGCTATCGCAAGCTCGTACGAGAGTTGAGAACCTACTAGTATATTATAGGCAGGTAGGGAATCGACTCGCAGCCGACTCGTAGCCCTCTTCTTACTATACTAATGCCTACTAGGGACCGTATCTACCGGATTTCACGGCAAATCAACGCTCTACTATATAAGCTTCGCGAACCACGTAATCGCTATCCGAATAGGCCACGGCACGCACGACTAAAAGCTAATGGGCCTAACGACAAAGTAGATAATAAAGGACCTGATAGATAGATTGCGAGTCGATAGCGAGTACATCAGTGCCTAACCACTGCGATTACGGTGTGTGAGAGTGTGGTGGTGCGGTAGCAAAACCGGCAAAACCATTTTGCGGATTTGTAAGCTCAGGCCACCGCCTCTGCTCCTCCTTATATCTTTCCTGCAGTTGCCTTCATCCTATCAACGGCTGGACGCGTGTTTGCTGCCCCACCCGACCACTCGGACCCGAGGCAGTTAGCCGGCCGCGTCAACACCATCACCACCAATCTCCCACCACGGGTAAACGGAAACCATGCTGACAGACGGCACGGCAGGGACGGAGGTCATGGAGCATGTAGCGCACAACAGGTCGAGGTCATCAGTGCCGTGGTATACCGCTAATCCATACGCTTCATAACGATCCGGCTGGATCACATACAACTACAGTCGCCTCAGGGCACCCATCTGAGAACCACCTCATCATCCCTTGCCCTGCCCTCTGAAAAACTCGATCCGAACTTCATCGTCATCACGCCCTCTACATGGCCCTCGTAAACTCCCTCAAATGTTCCCGTCTATTCAGACTCCAACCCTGCCGCAATTGCTCTCCACCTCGCCTTCCTGCCCGCAATGCGTAGTTTCTCGTCAAAGGCCCAAACGGTACTGTCCGCCCCGCTAAGTCACTGTGCCTCTTGAATCTTCAAAATCGCTTGCCGCACCACAACGGTAAAGACACGCTCCTCCCACAAGTAGAGCGTCGAGGACGAAGTCGTCTTTCTATAGAATCGTCGACGTGCTGGCCTGCCGTGTCTTGGACTTCCAGAACATCAGTTTCTTCAGACGGTGCTGCTTCTTCTTCGGTCCCTTGTCCAAATCCGTTGCCGTCTGTGGCCGGCTGTCTGCCATGCCAATGCCAGTGCCCGGTCGAGCTCCAAAGGAGCCTCCCATGAGTTGCGAAAGACTCTGGATGCTTCCGCGCTTGCGTCGCCGCTCGGCCGCCACCATCGGGTCAAGCGTACCAGATGTGACGGATGGTGTGCGTGCGCCGCCCATGTCACGACGCGAAGAGTTGGCGTGCATCGTGCTGAACATCGTGGATCGGCTGCTGGTCAGAGATGGCACGTCGTCGACCGAAATGCGCACCTCCGGCACAGCTTCACCCGTCGTGCATGAGCTCACCGTGCGGTTGTCTGCGATCGATGATGCCGATGTTCCAAGTCTCGAGGTGTCGAAGGAGCTTTGCCGACGAGCAAAGTCTGGCGAGGAAAACGCGGAACACTGATAGCTCTCGGGCGTGGTCAGCGATGGTTGTCCCGCAGGCAGAGCCAGAGAGTCAGCCGTGTCAGGACCCGCCAGGATGGTCGGGGTCTCGCTGCTATCCGAGGACTTGGTTAGCGACTGAGCCCTAGGCTCCTCGTGCGCTTCGACAACCGTTGGCTCGACCGGACTGGATTCTTCCAAGATGGTTTCCTCGATGACAGAAGAAGCTCGGCGGTGCAAGATTGGAGTCGAAAGCCTGGAACCAAGGGTCGCATACGAAGTCGTCGGTCTCTCAGGCTCCCATTCACCCTGCCTGATTCGTAGAAAGTCGTCGAGAGTCGCATTGAGGTCAGAAGTGCTCGCTCCAATGTCAGAGTCCACGATCTGAACACCCGTGCCCAGCTCTTCATCTTGCACCGACTGCGTGCTGCTTGGCCGGGCCGACTTCGGTTCGGCAGCTTCCTCGTCCTCCTGCCCCTCTTCTTCGTCCTCTTCGAAGACGCTTCCCATGGCAACCTGAGGTGGCGTTCCGGTCCTATTCTGCTCAAAGGGCGTCAGGAGAGGTGCGCTCTCGGTGCGACGGTGGCTCGAACTGGGCACGTAGTGAAGTCCTGGTCCAACAAAGTCTTTCGTGCCACGGCTGCTATGCAATTCTCGACGAGGACGTTGCGATCCCAGAGGCGGCGTATTGAACGGGCCGAGGGCTGCATCCAGGTCGAGCATGGCACTGCTCTCGTCCACTTGATTAGGGCTATAATTCGAGGATGTTGGCGGCTCGACGACCTCCTGTGCGCGGACGCCACCAGAGGGGGCCGTGTCTTCTTCTAGGCTGGTGAAAGCGACATCCAAGTCTGTCTCAGCTGCAGCAGGCTCGCTCACAGGGCTTGCGTCCGCGCCAACCGTTTGACTCGGTGCGGTCAGATACACCGAGTGCGGTCTCGATCGCCGCGAGAGCTTCGAAACAGCCCAATCCTTGAGTCTCTTGGGCGAAGAGCGCAGGTCCGAGGTGGAGATAGCCTGAGCAGAGGAAGGCTCCTGCAGGGACAGTGCAGAGAGGCGTGATAATGCAGAGAGGCGTGAAGGCTCACCAGAATACATTCCCATCGAAGGCTCACTACGCCGACGATCGAAACCTAGCGCGTGGCTGAGCGACTGCTTCCTCTTGTGTGCCGGCAGCTGGCTGTTGATTGCAGGCTCGGCAGGCCCATCTGAGGATTTCAGTGAGCCTGATGGTTCTGAGACCTGCAGCTCCAAGTTCTCCAGCGTGGAGGCTTTCTTCAGCCACTGGCCTTCTCTCTCGACTCGCTTGCCGAGGTCAATGGACGATCGAGTGTTGTTCTTTGGCTCATTTTCCAGGGTAGGTTCCAATGATAGTGCACGCATACGTGACGATAGTTGACTCGAAGTTCCCATGCTCAGAACCGATGATATGCTGTTGTTAACACAATGTCCCCGGACCGTCGACATGGAGCTTCCGGTGTCTGAAGATACGGTGGAGAGGGGCCGCGGAATATACTCGATGTTGTCGGAAAACTCTACCCGTGGCCGAGACGGTGGCCGGGCCTGGACGTCAGCAAGCGGAGGTCCAAACGGGCTTCCAGACGGGGGATTCTCTGTGCTAGACGCACTCGCTGTCGGCTGCTCGAGCGGAGTGTTTGGCAAGCTGCTGCTCATGCGAGGCTGGGTCTCGGCGTGCGTCATGGTATTACTCCACTCCATGCTGGACATTGTGATCCTGGAACGAGAATGACCAGATTTGTGCTTTCGCGTGGGCGAGTCTGGAATTTGTAACGCTGATGTTTTCGTGGGGCTAGAATTCATGACCGCGTTCATGCCTACTCCACCGCCGAACTCACTGATCTTTCTCTTGTGTTGCACGCTCCGCGAGGGCGTAGTCTGTACTGGATCTGGCTGGTCTTCACTCAAGCCAGATGTGTCACTGGCGTTGAAGCTGAAGCTTGGGAGCGCGACGGAACCTCCTCTTCTGTGAGAAACATTGTCTGATGTTCGAGGCCGAGCTGGCATGCACGTCGACATCGGTCGAGCGCGAGCAGAGTGGCTGCTACGAGGTCCTGCGGCGGGTTGTCGCGGGAAGGAGAAGTCAGGGTTCGGCAACATTTCGATTGCCGGAGCGGCGCTCGCCATGGGCGCCGTGAAGGCCATGTTACCAATGCTGCCAGAGTGCCTGAAATGCCCTGGCATCACAACCTCAGTCATGCTGAGTATGGATGGCCCCAAAGACGGGAATACGCGGTATAGGTGTGGTTACAGCGAGGTGCCGCCTCTCGGGAGCATGGAGGGGCTTTCGAGCGGGCGCCGCGGAGCGAAGTGAGGTGAGATCAGGTGAGGTGAGGTGAGGTGAGGACGAGCGGGCCCGCAGGTGTGGCAGCCGAAACTGAAGCGGGTCTGCTTCGGAATGGGAACTGCAGTGTGGAAATTATCTGCAGGCAGATGTCAGTACGGTAGGTGCTGTCGACCGGTGCGCAGTCGTCAACGGCGGCTAGAGGTGGCAGCAGCAGCGTCAGGAGAGCGTGGACAGGCGTACAGTGGGAGTCGGAGGGTGGAAGGTGCAAAAGCTCGCAGAGCGTGAGGCACAGCCGAGTAAATGGACCGCCGTCGAGAAGAAGAACGAGTGACAATGAATAGCAAGTAAAGGAGTGGACGGCAGCGATTGCAGCGACAGCACGGCGGAGGGCGTGCTGTGGTGCAAGACGAGCCTGGCGGAGAGGGCGGTGGATGGTGGTGGTGATGTGAAGTCGGATGGACGAGGTGGTGTGGGTGTTGGTCGAGAGAGGATTCGGCAGCGGAGAAGTAGAGTGGACGGGTAACTCAGCGGCCCTTTGCTTCACACTGCCAAGGTGCTTTGTGAGCGCGGGAGCTAATCTCGTACGACGGCGCTAGCCCAGCTAGTGTCGCTGGATTGACATCCATGGGACCTGATTTAACTTTACACGCGCCCAGGGGCACGCCACGCCCCGAACTTGCGCATCATCACAGCATCTTGGTGGAGAGTAGAGCAGAGCAGAGCAGGCGGAGATAGATAGGGAGAGAAGGCAATGACTTGATGCGTGATGAGGAGTACTAGGGAGCGGCAGTCGAGGAGTGCAATTGCCCACCGCGGCCAAGAGCGCCATGGTCCTCGCACTCGGCTCTCGCGCCCAGTACCTCCGTACGGTACGGGTACATTGTTCGCTCGCGAGTCGTAGGCGGAACCTGTGCTGAGCACCGTACGGCAGCAGATTGGTCCACTTGGTCCGCCGCCCAGCCGTATCGCTATCCAAGCTCCTTGTCCGCACTAACCACAATCTACCGGTGCTACCGTATCGCTAGCCCATACACAGATACATCCTCTGTGCTCACCACCACCGCCTCGCATCCGCCTCGCATCGCATCGCATCGCGTCGCGTCGCGTCGCATCAACCAGCGCCACGCACTTGGCATTGTTACTGCACTCGCAGTATTATGTTTACTGTGCACCTCAAACACTGTCAAAGGTGAATGAAAGGCTCAACCCCGCCAGGTGAACTGCTCCTGAAACGCGAGTCCCGCTGACGCAGGCTGCGCAGGCTGGCAGGCTGCTCGGCACGCTGATCGCTGTGCTGTGTGCTGTGTGCTGTGTGCTGTGTGCTGTGTGCTGTGTGCTGTGTGCTGCGTGCTATTGTGTGCTGGTGGCCTCTGCGCCTGTGCATGCACGTCTGCAGCTCTAATGCAATATCGCGCCTCCTATACTTGTGCTGTGTGCTGCCCTACTGGCCCCGTCATCACACGCCCGCCGATCGCCTTCTGCTTTGAGAAAGCGAAGAGCACGTTTCATTGAACTCTACCCCTCCCAGGGTCTCTAGCGGCAACGGCCACGCACTGCTGCTTTCCACTCTCTTCTCTGTGCTCGTCGTCATCCGTTTCCACGACGCCAGCGTGAGTGAGGCACTGAGGCTGTGCTGTACTAATACTCCACAGTGCTCCACACTCCCGACTCCTTCCTCGACTGCGCGCACAGGCGCGTCCAGTTCGACGCGCATCCCCCCGTCATTGTACGACATTCAGCTTCATGCCGGAGCAGATAAATCTCCGCAATCGCTGCTCGAGTCGCACAGGAGTCATGCCGGTCAAGGATCCCACCACCACGGACACAACACTCAATCAGCCATGTCCCTGCCTCGCATACTGTACCTCTGATCCAAGTTCACGCTCCCTGTGAGCCTCGGAGTCGGGCTGGCGAATCTTCTCCCCAGAAGTGACCAAGCCAAATTCACGGCCCAGATATCTTAAGACATTATCTGCTCGCAAAAGACCAAAAAAGCATCGCGTTAGCGAAAGGGTTGCATGCGCTTTGTTACATGCCGGCAATCTCGAGCATCTTGCCGGATATTGGTATCTATAGCATCTAAAGTGAATGCTGTCGGATTTCGAACTTTGGATGCCTCGCGCAAATTGTATACAGAAGGTGAGATTCGACCCGGTCGTTCTCACCACCTTGTGCACCCGCCGGAGACAGGCCCGTCGTACCGCAAGCCGCCACACAGCATTTGACGTTGCTCAGCAGACGCCCCAGGCTTCCACCTTGCTCCATCATCAAAGAGACTTCATGATCTCACACGTCCCAACCATTTCACCTTGGAACGCAATCACCAGAGAGGTCAGTGTTGTTTGTTTCACTGACCAACGTTACCTCTGCATTGCGCTGCTGCATGCGAAGACGAAACCTTCCGAAAACTACAGAACCTTCCGAATAGCTGCTGCAGAACGCGCAGGCTCTTCAGTGATATCGTCGGTCTCCGTCGCTGTCCGAACTACATCCAGGCGCGAGTTATTATAATATCCCCTTATTTTTGGGCAGCACGGTCCGGGGTCTGTAGTAGGTCGTTCCCGAAGACCGGTATCTCTCGCCACCGCTTCCTTGTCTATGGTAGCAGCCACTCAAAAGCCAAAAATGCGTTGGAAGGACCACAAATGTTTCGTTTCATACATGCAGCGCATAGCAAGCCCTGTACTTTTTCAGAGTGGCAATGCGGACCCGTGATTGGCTTCGTCCGTCTCGTCCGTGGCTTCATCGTCTTTTGCCCTCACACCCTGGTGATTTGGAACACGGTAATCTCGGCCGGGGGGAGCTTAACGAGAAGACACGGATCATTGCAGCTGTCGACAGATGTGCCGGACGTGGGAGATGACGACAGCCGGGTGTCTCTACTACCGACTCTGCAGACCCATAGCGTACGCCACCCGTGGTGGTTCACACTTTTTTACCTAAAGAAAAAAGCATCCAGGCAGGCGGTATCATCTCGACGAAATACAGACGGGGAGTGTCGACCACTTCAATCTCGTGATACGGAGTCACATGCGTTGACGAGAAGCGGGATACTTCATTATCATGCTCTAACCGCCTTTTAACTGGCGATCTTAAGCGGAAACCTGCTGGGAAGCGTATTGTCGGGGGAACGTACGAATGTGACAAAGAAAGACGCCGCACTCAGGCAGGCGACAGCTGAGATGATGAGCGTTTTGTATTGACACAGTCCAGTAGTGGGCTTAGGAGGCTAAGCATCAATAATAGGGCTTTGAGGCTCACCTTTCTCGGATCGCATCTGGCCCTCTAGCATAGCACAAGGACGAAGCTTCAATTCACATTTGTAGCAGCTCATCGACTGATCCTTCGGCTTGTTCGTCAACAACGTTGAAAGACCGCGTCGAATCTCGGGGCATACTCTGAAACCGCCTTCCCCCCCCCCCCCCCCCCCAATCCACAACGGACTCTCCTGCCCAGAGGATAACTTGGGCATAAGTATTGGCAAGTATTATTACAAAAGATAGCCGCAGGACGGAATGACTACGAGAGTAGTACCGGCCATCAAGCTACCTACTCAATTCTCCTTGCAAGTCCGTCTCGAGAGCTTGCCGAGTTGAGCCATCCACCCGTTGATGACATCTGACAATGAGGTCCGTGCATCCGTCCTCCCCGAGCTAGCGCATGCAGGCTTCAGCGGAGCTTCAACGAACGAACGTTCCACTGCAACCCGATATCACGATGAGCAAGCCTAGCAAATTCGAAGGTCTCGGAGGATGATGATCATGGGGGTGTTTGGAGCTGAAGGTGCTTTGACAGAGGAGGTACCTACCTATTTGGCATTGTCCGTAGCACGGTGCTGTTCCTAGCGCTGGAGAAAGTGGGTCACGCAGCAGAGCAGAGGAGGCAAGAACACGAGAATTAAATGATATGAAGCCCCCCCGCCCCATGTCCAATTCACCAGACAGGCCTGGCAACGACGAATATACACTTCGTTTCGTTTCCTGCAGAACTCCTCCACCCCCCAAGTTACAACAAATAACAATGAAAGAAAAAAAAAAGGAAATGCACCCTCTCCACCATCATCTCCTCATCCTCCCCATCGTCCTTCTCGCCTTGCCCGCCGCCTTCCCCGCCGCCCTCACCACTGCCCATCCCCACCACCCGCCCGCCACCACCCCGAACCTCCAAATCGAAGCCTATCTTCTCGGCCGCATGTGCCACGGCGAGAACCTCCACGGCGGCAACATCACCCAAAAAACACCTGCAACAACGTAACCGGATTCCAATCAGCGGCTTCCTTCACGATTGCCGGCTTCAGCACCAGCACGCGGGGGGGCCCAAGTGGTACAGTTCTATCGGAATGGGAATTGTACGGATGCCTCTGCTTTCCCGCCGGTGGTGGTGGCTTTTCCGCAGTGTTTGAATGTTTTTGGGCCGCCCGTGGGGTCTTATCGGTTTGTGGTTGAGGGGGAGGGGGAGGGGGAGGGGCAGGATGCGGAGGAGGAGGAGGAGGAGGAGGAGGAGGGGTGATGGGATGGGATGGAATGGGAGAGGTGGAGCGCTTTTCCAGGGTTTGGGTTTCTTCGTGTCTGCTCGGGGTTGTGGGGAGGTTGGAAGGATGGATGGATTGGATGGAAAAGGTGTTTTATATATTAGCTCAGGGGAAATGTGTAGGAAGGGAGGGTAGGAATACTGCAAGTGGAGCGTTTCCGGTGCGTATTCGTTCCCAGAGAGGCTTCATTCGTATTCATTCGTATTCATCCCAAACTTTTGACTCTATACCCAAATTAGGATCAGCAAGGACTTGAAGACTGGGTCGATTGAATCTCTAGTAGTAGTCACTAAAGGAAGTGTATTCCGCCGTGAGGCATGCTCTATGCGCCCCCAAATTACCCGGTCGTGGTATGTACACCTTCTTTCCGTTACTCCATTAACTCCACTGGCGGCCTCGCCGTATGAACAAACTTCTTCTCCACTCCCTCCATGGGACTGCCAGCCAACGATGCCGGGCTCTCTGTATCCTCGACAGCTATCGCGGGCAAGTGTGGCGAGTGGCCTTGCTCGTGAGGGTTGTATAACAGTGTACTGCCCGACCTCTGCCTACCCACGGTGGTGTCAACCGTCGGCCTGGCCTGGACATCTCCGTTGGCATCTTGCTTCAGGGCGTCATCTGCACCAGGCCGAGCACGCAACCTGGCCAGCGCATCTGCCAGGTCTTCGGCGTGCACGTCCTTGTTCGGGGGCTCCTCGTTGCGCATCTCCCATCCAACGGGCGGACTCGGCGGCGGCGAGATGAAGAACAGCTTCTGGCTCTGCGGGGCTTGTAGGTGTTGCGGCTCCTGCTCGATCTTGGTCTCCTGTCCAAAGTAGACCCTCACGCGGTCGCCCAGGACGGTTTCGCCATCCAGGACTTGACGGATCTGGATCGCATCTTCGCTCGTGTAGAAGCTGACGATGATGCGGCGGAAGCTCTTGAGAGGCGAGAACGTTTGGATCGGGGCGTGCTGGTTGATTGCGTTTCGTATGCTTTCGAGGTTGGAGGCTGTGAAGATGTCGAGAGAGTTGAGGTTGGTGATGATGAGGGTGTTGCTCGGCGGCGTGGGCTGCGAGAGCTGCGGGAGGTCGGAGAGGTCCATGGAGAGGGACTGGGACGAGTTTCGTCTCCGGTGTAGTAGTGGCGAGGTGGAAGTGGAAGGAGGCGAGGGCATTGTCATGGTCGCCATGTGTGTGTGTGTGTGTAGGTGTGTGTGTAGGTGGGGATGCGGTTCGATAAGTAAGTAGGTTGTGTTTCGGGAAGGTCGACTGAATCAGCGGAATCTTTCGCCACCGGATTCGCTGCTGGATGCTGCAAACAAGAGGTGTTGAGGATGTTTGCGAGTGCTCGTGGTGATTGTGATGGAAACGTCGACTTCTTTTGTCTTGGCCTCGGTGTGGGCTGCGCCTCGCCGCGTCGCTCAGAGCGTTCTGGAAGAGAGCCAGGCCTGGGTGCTGCTCCGCCACCGCTCGGTTCTCTCCGAAACCTCGACCACCGCGCTCCTCGTCATGTGAAGACGAATGCACCCTCCAAATCCGGCCGGCCGTTTCTGCACTGGATCATCATGGTACTACGATTAGCAACACACTCTCCACGCCTTGGGCCTTGAAGCAAGACACGGTAGGGTTCATTGGAGCTCCGCCGGCATACCTTGCTCATGGATTCAACACAGCCCGTACAAAAGCACCAACAATACCAAGGACTGGAATTCGGCTGCCTCTCACTGCGTCCATGGCGTGCTCTGCCCATACCTGTTTCCAGACATTCGTGCCTTGGACTAGGACGTGGGCCTAGGGCAGGCTCTGCTATTTCGTGGGACGAAGCATTGCCTTGTCTCAAGGCTGGTGCTCTCATCTGGTCATGGCCAGATTGATCCACATTCTCGGAGTTCATATGGCCCCATGAGCATCACGACAGGAAACTCACACGCCATCACGTGCATTCTTGCCCTTATGTCCGATGGTATCCGACGTCACTGACGATCCCGGTACCGAGGTGGAGGTTGAAGTAGAGGTAGGTAGGAGACGTAGTGGATGCCCAAGATATCGAATCGTGATCAATTGCCAATCCGTATCTTCACGGTCGGGGAAGAGCAGACCAACAAAGCCGCACAGCATGTCCACAATAAATCTACCTTCAGACCCGGGCAGAGAAGACCCAATATACAAACATCCTACCAAGCCCACGACAGATCCTAAAGACGCAGCCGTCTTCATTTTCGTGCATGGCCTTTCTGACAGTGGAGCAGCTTTACAGAGTATCCAGTCGCATGTGCTCAACATTTGAGAGCCTCCCATTGACTAGCTCCTCACAGACGTAGCCGATCAATTCCAACAAATGGACAAACTCCCCCATCTCCACTGGATCCTCCCTTCCGCCAAACACAATCCAATCCAAATGGACACGGCGTGGTATATACAACACAGTCTCTCTCCAATCCCTTACTCCCGCCCAGAACTGGCACCCGACGAGGACGAGGACGGCATGCTGGAAACAATCACGTACTTGGAATCTTTAATCGACGCTTGCGTTGATGCAGGCATCCCGGCGAATCGCATTGTTCTTGGTGGCTTTTCCCAGGGAATGGCTATGTCATTGCTGCTTCATTTGACGTCGAAGAAGTACAGTGGCAAATTGGGAGGAATTGTAGCGTTGTTGGGTTATCTACCACTTTCCGATGGCAAGATGAGGTTGAGAGAGTTGAGGAGAGAAAGAGGATTCGGGGAGAGCGTCGAAGGCAATGTGCCCATCTTCATGGGGAGGGGCTTGAAAGATACGCTTGTTCCGAAGCGAGTATGGGCATATTCTGTGGAAGGTGTCAAGGAGTTCGGCGTGCCGGAGGACCAAATGGAGATCCATGAGTATGAAGGTCTGACGCACACGCTTCATGGACCATTGCTGTCGGATCTCTGCACGTGGTTGGAAAAGGTCGTGCCGGCGAAAGAGCAAGAGTCCAAGTAACTTCTAGTCGTGCATTCGACTTATCGATGCACAGGTTTCAGACCTTCATTACGGAAGAATTGCTCCCAGTGTGAAGATGGCGGGGGCCGTGAGGCTAAACCCCAATCCATCAATTCTTCTCGCTCAGACATGTTGATGATGTCTTTGTCCATCGGGTTCCAGTGTTCGAAGTCGACGATGGAGCTGTTGCGAAGCAAAGGGTTAGCAGCCGACTTGATGACCAGCAAAAAGAGACATCAAGACTCACAGCTTCTTGGTCTCTTCTTCCCACAAAATATTCCTCAGAGCACAGTCGTACGGCTTGAAACCTAAACTCCATACCCGTCTGCGGGAAAGACTCATGTCAGTATGGGCAAAGTCGCATCCTTCGTTGCATCCTTACTTGATCGCCACCAGGAATGCGTCTCTGATTTCCCTCCGCTCCGCCTCCGTCATGCTCCAGAATTTGAGTGCCAGGAGGTCCTTTCCGGGCATCAGAGTCATGACAATGTAGACGATATAACCACCCGGCATGGGTCCATCGTCGCCTTGCACAGCGGTTTTCCAGCCGATCAGATGGGGTAGAGAAGGCGAATTGGACTGTGTGAACGATTCGAGAGCTCTCAGCTCGTCGGCGGTGTGTCTGCTAGGCCCGGGGATGGGAGTTGTCAGGCCGCCTGCCAGGACGGATGGTGCTCTGTGAGATGACTGGTCAGGGATGGAAGGAAGGAAGGAATGAATGAATGAATGAATGAATGAATGGGACTTCGAGAAGAAGACTACTCACTGCACCTTGCATTTCAGGATGTATAGATCATCTCCATCCTCTCCACTACTATTACTTGCATTGCTTCCTCCCGCTCCTCTCCTTCGACAGATAAACAGCACCCTGGCTTCGACATCGTCCTTTCGAAAATCTGTCATCGCCCGAACTCGCTCGAAGACGGCCTCAACGCCGGGAACCGTCACGTTCGGCTCCAGTAGATGGTCGGCGTCGTCCAGAGTGAGGCCATGATTCTTCATCTTTCAACGGGTCTATCGATCGTTGTACGCGATATCCATCCCATCGGCAAGGATGTCTCTCGGCACACACACATCGGTCTCTCAGACTAGCACATAGCCGTCCTCGGGGAACCGGATGTGGCGTGACGGCAGCCGCCAACGACAACCACCACACCCCTTCCCAAAAGACATCCGACATTCTCCCACAGGTCACCGGTGACGTGCTGCTCACTGATCAAGCTTTGGATCACGATGCGCGCCCACTGCAGAGATCAGATGAGCCCTGTGACGACGACGCTACGGTAGCAGTAGTTGACCGCCCTACCGCGCCAAACCGTGCACTCGCGCCTGCCTGCTACCTGCGCCGCTACCACACGATTATTGGCCTCAGAACAAGCGCAACACGGTATATCCGAACATGAGCCATGAATCCGCTCCTCTAGTGAAACATGTACAGCCTTTCCCCGGTACGCAAAAAGCCAGCCAAGACAGACTACATGATTATCGCAACAACAACAACAACAACAACAACAACACATGATGATGATGATGATGGACAAGCTCGTTGATGAGAAGAAGAAGACGTGTGATCGAATAATAATAATGAGCTCCTCGATCTCAGCACATCGCTCGCCTCCTTGCAGACATCCATTTATTTCACTCATCAAATGCATCAAATCCTTCGCTGATCATCATCATCCACGGGACCGCCGACGGGGAAAATATCACATCACACCGTTGGATTCGAGGCGCGTTTGCTCCTCCACGAAGAAGGAAGGCATGTCGGAATTCCCCATCGGCGCAAGAACCCATTCGCAAAATATCCCTCATCATCAACGCAAAGTGCTCCCATACCTAGCCATGGGCATACCTACAGCGGAGTAGTTGGTCGTGACGCTCCGCAGGGACAGCAATAATAATAATCACGGCGAGGCTCTCTCCCTCTTCCTCTTCCTCTTCCTCTCCTAAGGTAGTGTTCTGCACGTACCTACCTACCTACCTACCTACCCTACACAGCAGGTCCTAAATAATGAACGATAGCCTTGAGCCTTTTGAGAAGGGTATCAATGGCGTTGCTGCAATACACAACAGATCCAAGAAGATCCTGCAGGAGACAGACCTTCG